AGGTATACTAGGTAGACAATCTTCATAAACATATAAGACATATATTATCAATTTTTAAATTACATTTCGGTGGTAATTTGCATGGGAATCCTTCTAACTGTAAACACTTGACAATCGCTAACAAAAAAGAGGAGCTGGCATGCATAAGAAATACTGTATAACTATATCTTGTACGCTTGTTTCTTTTTTGGAAGATTTGTACCTATTATGTAAAGGTTTATCTCAATTGCTATATCATTGAGGCCCTAGTAGGACGATTAAAAACTAGTCGACACCGCACTGGTGACATCGAGCCGTAGATTATGTGATACATGATAGAAAACTATTCAAGTTACATCGATACGTGTTCCTACAAAAATCAATATACCAGCACAGGTATGGTAAGCACACCATAATGTCACACATATTCCTGAAAATCCCGCTAAACCACCCTACCTTTACTGCTGTAGAGAGCTGGATACGTGCAGGTTTACGTCTCGCTCCCGCAGCAGTCTGGGGGATATCAAATCTAGCACTCGACATTTCCCGGCGAAACTAGAAAGCAATTCTTTTAAAGGTCACTCTCCTCTGGGACTTACAGGAAAATTCGCCGTGGCTTAAATGGGATCAACACCTACCTGTGCCGCTGGTTACTCTGCGCGTGGTCAGTCATGACAAATGATAGCTACAGCTGGAAAGGTAAAGGGAGAAGCCTAGCGTGTGATTATCTTAATAAAGAGCATATCTCAAGAGCAAAACATCGATTTGTTTGTTCTGTTATTCCTGGTTGTTTGGCTGAAAAAGTCGTTTCCTATGCGAACTGGCATTCAGGAAATCGTATTTTCACTTTTGGATGAGAACATGCTCCACATATCAGGAAATCTTCGTCCAAAAGTCGCTCTCAATAAATTTAGGGACAACATTGTGCTAGCCATTTGTGACAACGCTATACTGGTAAGCACAACATAAACCTCAGGTCTGCTTGGTAGAACAATGTTACCCTCTAAAAAATACAGTTGAAACCTTGCTCTGCTGTAACTGTTGGCATTAAGCATATTAATACGGAAGCACGTCTCTTGTTTCCGCCCATCGGGCTGGCCTTAATTTGTCTAGTTGCCCGCGGAAACGGCCAGACGTCCGTCTGTACATGTATCTACAGCCCATCCGCAGCTGTGGCTTCCCATGCTTTGTGGCGCCACTTTAAAGAAATCATTTGAAGCAGCGGAACAAAAGACTTGATTCAAATGCATTGAAAAGGAAATCCTGATTTTATCTCTAAAATATGTGCTTTCCAAAGGGCACTTCCAGTGGACTTACAGGGAAGGATTAACAACGGTTGGGTGGAGGGGTGGTTGTGCTTTTTATTTCCCATTGCCGACTCTATCATCTGTGATGCCTCTTCACATAGAGGTCAGGTTTTGAGTGGGAAAAAATCGCGTGAACTTTTGAGAGGGAAAACCATGTGAACACTCTATGAAAATTGCGAACAGTTATTGTAGTTGTACATCACAGTCCCAGGTGATATGCAGTTATTTCCAGTAGCTATCACGACAATGATTACAGCTCATGGAGAGTATTGCACAACGGGGTAAGCAAGCCATTCCATCATTCTGCCTACATGTAGCGTTCAGTAGTCTGTTCCTATGCAGGCAGCCTATCACATACGATAGAGAAGAACCGGTCAGGCGTCTAATAGTAATAGAAGCTCGGGCGGAGTTCAAGGCTGCTGATGATTTGAGAATCTGATGTACTAGCACGGTACACAGACCGGACTGCACCTGCGCGAGATCCGTGATGTATTGTGGCATAGCACTTGGGCAGAACGTCTCGCTCCAAGGTCGTACTCAAGCTTTTAAGCGTGACATCCCGTCTTTAGTTTTCAAATGACCTGTCTAAAAAAATCCCTCTGCAGCGGGAAAAATCTTGACTCAACGTTGACAGACAGATAATCATCCAACCAGGGAGGTTGATAAAACGACCTTGATCCAACGAACACCGTGAAGAATCCGTGTTCCGCGCAGGCGCAAAACGTTCTGCTTGATAGACCCCACGTGGACATCCGGTGTCTCCAAGGTTTCGGCACTTCCAGGCGGTCTGAGCGCCGAGCTGACTGTGGTTTGAACAACTCAATTCCTGCCTAAGGTAAAAAAGGCGTTGTCTATCTGTTCTATACGGCGTTACTGTGGGTAGCAAGGTCTTGTTCTATGTTGCGTATTTAGAAGCAATTTTAAAGGTTGGTTTTGCGTCTGTCGTAGCATCGAAATTATCAGCGTCGGCTTCATTGTGAATAGCAAGTTCTTGTTGTATGTTGGGTCTTTAGAAGCGATTGAAAGGTTGCTTTTGTGTCTGTCGTAGCATCGTAATTACTGATGATCGCATTTCTAGTACAGAGACAGAGAATGTAGAAGCGCGTACGTGTATGAAATTTGTAGGGATATTGTTTTGTCTGGAGGGATAGACGTGCATATGCTGTAGAGGAGAGACTGGTGACTGTGTTTCATAATGCTTGTATATTTCCTGAGTATGTACAGTGGCAGAACGATTTTACTATATCGTTGTTGAAGCATTTGCATTCAGTGATATGAAGTTTACATCATCGTAAAACGATTTTATATTTTTGTAGCCTTCTTATGTCACAGTTAACCAAGGTAAGGTGTATGCGGGGGTTTTATATATTACATAACCTGAAAATGACTAATTACTTGAACTACCATTTCGAAGCTTTACTTGAAGCTACTCAAGCTGAAATATTGGACAATTGCTATTCGGTCGACTTCAATTTGGGTAAATTCACGCGAGTGCGTAACGACATCGCGGCAGTGTGGATGAGCATTTGATGGCTCTCTGGTATAATTAGTCTTCTGTTATTACATAATTCTAGAAATCTCATTGCTTCGAAACTCAATTTGGTAAATCTAATCTATAGCTTTGCGATTGCTTGACATATGACATTTTTTATTTAATTTTGTTCCAAGGAAGCAGTAGACTAGTTGAGTAGGAAAGACAGAAATGGATTGTGGTAAAATAATATGCAGGAAAAATGATTGTAGAAATCTTGGTTAGTAGAGATAGTTTTGATCAAATCCTGTTGTTTTTAATGCAAATGTTAGGAGTGTTTAGGTCACAAAGTATCATCTTAATCAAAGGCGTCGGACGGAAATCAATCTCTGCAAAAAGAAAACGAAATGCAAAAAGCGGACAGCAAACAGAAAAAGGATGTTGTGCTACTAGGAAGGACCAACTGGGGACAACAATCTTCTTTCTATAGGTCAAATTTTATGGCAATCAATTCATATAATTTTCAGTGATACTTTTCAACCATAAAGGCAGCTCAAGACACAGTTACCAATACTAGTACCATCCCCTCTATGAATTTTAATTGACAAATGTACAAAATGTATGCGTACGTACGGCGTAGCAACATTGGACACTTGATCACTGGCTGTGTCAACAAGCTACTATACAAATGGACGCGCTGTCAGCAGTCATGTTAGAGGATCCGAATCTGTAAAAAGGCTTTCCGCCAACCCTCGGGTGGATTTTGTAAGAAGTGTATGATTACTTTGTACTAGGTTTTCCTTGTTTTCTTATGCTATGATATTTTCTTTGTGTTAATATTGGTTTCTTATGTTGTTCTTACTCATAACAACTTATGATTTGACTAATGGAAATTTATTTTTTTTGTTCAATATGATTTGTTCTTGATTGTCTTACTTTATTGTTTGGATATTTAATTCGCCGTGTTAACTTTATATTATCTTGTACCTATTTTGAGTTAATTTGTTTGCTTGTCCCTTAATACATTGCAAGTTAAATGTAAATGTAATAAATGTATGTAAATAAGAGATCGTAAAATTAATAGGATTTGGGAGAGTCCACTAGACAAACCTTCAGGTTTCTTGGGCTCTCCAGCATATATTTGCTTGTATATAATTTCATTTTATACTGTTACTTTTTTATGTGCAAACTGACAATAAACAAACAAAAATAAACAAAATAAGTTGGTTCTTATCTACACAGCCTAAGATGTTATCCAGCGACGTTTCAGTAACCTTTCATCAACCGTACACGAGGATTTATGAACCCTAATGAACCCAAATAAAACCCCGTAAGCAATAACGCACTACACTTGTAGCTACCTGAAAAGCATCATGCCTCACTTAAGTTGCGGATGACAAAAGAAAAGAGACCAAAGTATGCACTGGTATACCAACTGGATAAAATTATCAATGGATGCATTTTCCTTTGACTCGAAAATAATGGCAGGAATGTCAGTGACGTCAGTGTATTGCCTGCATAACATTCTTGAAAATCCTTCTTTTCCTTGAAAATGTTGGTGCAGCGTGGAGACTGTTTTGTGTTAGAAGGAATAGTTGGGGTCCATACTTACCCAGGTTGGTCAAAATTTGTTTCGCTCACCATGGTATGAGGACAGTTTTCAGTTATTCGGTCTGGGCAACCTTAAGCTGGATACATCAGAAACGTCAAAAGCTTTATTTACTGCTGTCAGCTTTTCTAGCAGTCATGAGATACTCTACACCTATTTTGTGCGTGGTTATCATGTAGATGCTAGTGACTCTCTGGTACAAAAGGACGCATTGGATTGAAAAACTGCCTTGCTGCAGGCATTACTTCAGATGTTTCTCATCAAAGTCTACACACTTATTAATCAGACTACAGATCAGTGCAAAATCTCTTCTGTAATTTTGTTCGTTCCTGATAGAAACGTATACGATTGAACAAATGGTAAATGCTAAGGCCTTGCTATGCTGCAGGCATTGCTTCAGATGTTCTTCATCAAAGTCTAGATAGGCTAGAGATTAGTGCAAAATTTCTTTGCAACTGTAACGTTGTTAATTTCTGGTAGGAAAGAACGTATACGATTGAACAAATGGTAAATGCTAAGGCCTAGCTATGCTGCAGGCATTGTTTCAGATGTTCTTCATCAAAGTCTAGATAGGCTAGAGATGCGTGTAATCTCCTCTCTAACGTTGTTCGTATGTTTTCCCGCAGTTGCGAAGATGGCGAGTCTACCATCCTGGGTCAACACCTATCCAGAAAACACCACCGACAACTCTACCATCTCCGACTATGACGAACTCCTATCCCTGAAGTACAAAATCGGAGTCCCCATGATCGTGTTCTGTGGCCTGTGCTACGTCGTCATCAGCTTGATGTGCATCTTATTCAACGGCCTTCTCTGTTGGCTCATCATCTTCAAAACACCAGAGGCCCATAAGTCAACAGACTACTTCATCTTGAACTTGGCCATCAGCGATCTTCTTGTCGGCATCTTCTGTATCCCGTTTACCCTGATCAACCATATCTTCACAGGTATGTATATATCATACACGTATTTAGCTTTGTTAGATCTTTGATTGTTGTTGAAAATCCCTGTACTTTTTGTTGAGTCAATTAAGAATCTTATTTTTCTCGTTGCATAGTTTTCTTTTTCAAACACTAAAACTGCAATAGTTGTAGGTTTATGGTTGTTTTTGCAATAGTTGTAAGTGTCGTATTAGCCACGAAAACATGTCAGCTATAGTATTGCCGACTCGGCAGGTGTGGATGTATTTTTTAAGGCAATCTGTATGATATTGGCACATCAGCACATTTGGATCAGTATTTCGTACTTCACATGTATGTAAAACTGCAGAAACAAGCCTCAAGATTAGTCCTTTATTTTCCTGGCGGTACCCTAAAAACCAATCTAGGTCCTTCTAGTAACCGTTTTTCGTCAGACGTTTTTGCTGCGTGAATGTCGATATAGATTGTGACAGTGTTGTTTCAGCTTAGTGTGTAGATAAGTGACTAGAATATTGACTTTGAAAAATCTGGTTTTCAAGACCTAAAAGCTGTACTGGATGCCTTTTACGCACGGCCAATAGTCTTATATAGGCCAGTGGCATGATGTATAAGGAAAGGCACATCGTTAAAACCCCTTTTCATGCATTCACAACGCATCAGTTCAAGGGCAACTCTTCTCCATTCAGGCACTCAACAGTGCCGCCCTCACGCCATACTCCCGTGCTAGCAGCTCTAAGTGCAACGTTCCTGCTAATGGAGTCCAATTATCATTGTTAAGATAATGCAGTAGTGCAGAGTTGCTTTAAATAGTGTCCCTCAAAAGCATTTTTGCTTGCTTAAAATAATAGCAGATATTGCGGTATATGGAATCCAAAATTACCCCCAATATCATCAATTAGACAATTTCTTCTCATTTCTACATTGTAACATTTCACTTTTGGCACCCATGCATTTTGATGATGATGATACCTAACAAGCTAAGAACACAACTGGTTATCCCCGTATTAGCGGTCAAAAAACTTTTTTCCTGTACCTGAACCATAACATGTTGTCAGAAATTCTACCCGCAGAAAATGCAAATTCTCTAGTCATTATCCCTGACACAGTCCTCTCCCACTAATGAAGCCTTTATTACTATTACCCTCTCAGCTTTGTAATAGCTACTAGAGATCTAGCTAGACTTACGTATTGCTAAATTATTGCCCATACTATCTGAGTCTGAATTTGCCTAGTCTAAGTTTGCATTTATGCCTGCAAAGTGGAACTATTTTCTGCAAATTGCAGGTTCCAGGAGGACATTTCGTGCCTTGTTGTAAGGAATAACGATTAGACTTGATATTCCGACATGGGGCTGAATTACCGTTAGTGAGCCCGGGTTGCAGTACTGGGCTAATGGCAGTGCCGATTCCCCGAACTCCGGTACAGTCCATGAAGAATGACACGCCAAGTAGTTCCGCAAAACAACCAAGCCGTGAGAAGAATGTGTATACGTATGTACCCTAATCCCCAAGCAGATTCTAGCTTCCCTTGAGTAGCGTATTGGACCCTCCATGGGCAATATTGCTACTGTCTGGCCAATTTGCCACCCTTGGATCTGCTACGAGATTACATATACCCAGATTCTCAACGTTTCTTTACGTTTGAACATGTTTTACCCTCTCCATTACCCGTTTATTCAACTTACTCGCCGTCAACCCTTACTCATTTATTGTACAGTACAGCACGATTGTCTTTACCGTAAACAATGACAATGAACTTTACTGCACATTTACGTGCAACTGCTAACTGTGACTGATCACCCATATAACTATTAGTTCCTTCAATTAGAAGGCGAAAGCACCGTCTTTATAAGAAGGCGAAGAAATCCAAGAATCCAGTACATCAGGAACAATTTCGCCATATTAAAAAAGAGACAGTACGTGACCTCAAGCGCGCCAGGGGCAAGTACATCCACAGTTCTATCAAAGAGGGACTAGAAGAAGGGAGCCAGAAACCCTTCTGGAAGTTCATCAAAGCCCAACGTCAAGACTTTATTGGTGTTCCACCCCTTAAGCATAATGGAAACTTGTTTTCAAATGCCAAAGACAAAGCCTACATCTTGCTTCAAGAGTTCAAGTCTGTGTTCGTATTAGAGGACTTGAGCTGTGTCCCTTGGTTGGGCCCTTCACACCCACTAATCTCGGATCTTACAGTGCATCCGGCCGGTGTACGCAAACTTCTGAATGCTATCAAGCCACACAAGGCATCCGGCCCGGACAAGATCCCAAATCGCGTCCTCAAGGAGCTGGCTGGCGAGTTGTCTCCTGTACTCGCAGCACTCTTCAACCAGTCGCTGCAACATGGATGTGTACCCGAAGACTGGACCAAGGCCATGGTAACACCTGTCTTCAAGAAGGGTGGAGTACACGATCCAGGCAACTACAGGCCAGTATCTTTGACTTGTGTAATTTCTAAACTCATGGAACATGTCCTGTGCAGACACATTCTGAACCATCTTGAAAGATACAATCTTCTCACAACGTTTCAGCATGGATTTCGCAAAGCTCATTCTTGTGAAACCCAACTGCTTCTCACCGTTGACGACCTTGTGTCAGCACACGACAACAAGTTGCAAGTAGACATGGGTATCCTCGATTTCAGCCGTGCTTTTGACACGGTGCCGCACGAACGATTAGTCAGTAAACTTGCACATTACGGCATCAGAGGTCCCATCCTGGACTGGATAAGATCCTTCTTCAGAACAGGTCTATGTGGGTCGTTGCGGACGGTGAGTGCTCGCCATCAACATGTGTCCTCTCCGGAGTTCCCCAGGGAACAGTCCTCGGACCACTCCTGTTCCTTATTTACATCAATGACTTGCCGTCCCGTCTATCACCCGGGACCACGGCTAGGCTTTTCGCCGATGATTGCCTTATCTACAGGGAGATTCGCGGTCAAGGCGACCAAGTCATCTTACAGAAGGACTTAATCGCACTGCAAGATTGGGCAGCAACCTGGGGCATGAAATTCAACCCCAAGAAATGCAACACCATGTCCATCACACGGAACAAGAACCCCTTCACCTGGATGTACGAGATGTGTGGCGAGTTTATCCACCAAACAGAGCAGGCCAAGTATCTTGGCATCACTATCAGCAACGACCTGAAATGGTCAACACATATCAGCACTGCTGTAACACGTGCCAACCACACACTTCATTTTCTCAGCCGTAACCTTCGCTACTGCCCCCGCCAAGTCCGTGAGACCGCATATTTCAGTCTCGTTCGCTCTACTATAGAGTATGGTGCAGTTATCTGGGATCCTTATATGAGAAAGGATATTGACACACTTGAAATGGTCAACCGACGTGCTGCTCGCTTTGTGACCAGTAACCACCGTCGTCAGGATGTCAGCGTCACAGCCCTCCTGCATGACCTGAGATGGCCGTCACTTCAGTCTCGACGACAGCAAGCACGACTAGTAATGATGTATAAGATAACCAATGGTCTCGTGGCTATCCCATCCAGTCGGCTTATCCCGGCAGTTGCTCGTACCCGTGCCAACCACGCCCACAAGTACAAGACTCTGAGACCACACTGTGACATTGCAAAATACTCATTCTATGCTAGGACAATTCCTGAGTGGAATAACCTTTCTGCCGACGTAGCTGAGAGTCCATCATTACAAACTTTTAAGAATCGTTTATCGTCACTTCCGTAATCATGTGTATATCTCCCCTCTGCGCGATGTCCCTGTATGTAGGGAATTTGCAGAGTAGTAGCTAGAACTAGAACTAGAGCATGGGCCAGGTGCACTCGGTTAGATAACTGAGACATATATGGTAAGGGCAAAAAGTTCTACATCACTAAAGTCTATATCTACAGGGTCTCTTCTCTCTTTTTAAAACATGCGTGGACAAATTTACATAGTTTACAATTATATCATAGTTCCTAGATGATGTAATATGCTTGAACAGTTCTCCTTTTTGTACATATTTCTGTTCTAACGATATAAGTTTGACTTTATTCAAACTTCGCCGACAAAGTTCACTTCGGAGCACCAGATAACATCATGTTGAGGTCAAGGCGGGCCTTCCATCATTCTCGTTTGTGGATTCACTCACAGGGTTTTTACATGTGCGTGCTCTTCGTCTTTTGTAGAAAATCAGCTGGGCGATGTGATGTGCAAGATGACTCCATTCATCCAGGGAACAGCCGTCGGTTCTTCCGTCTTCACGTTGGCAGCCGTGGCAGTAGACAGGTAAAGTATTCAGTGGAGCCTTATACCCACTCATGGAGTGAAGAATGACGCTTTGACGTCATGGCGATACGAAATCCTTCCCGGGGCGAAATTACAAGAATATTAATGACATAGAGGAGTCGGGCTGTCTGTAGCTGTAAATAATAATCACTACTGAGCTGTCAACGTGCTGCAACAAAGCCGCATGTTGGACCTTAATGACGATCAGGGGCAGTCGGTCGTTAGTCCGGAATCTATCACTGCCTTTCAGATGTCAGCATGTCTGTGAGGCGACAATGTGACTACCCGTGGGGCTTTCTTAATTGGAGACTGATGATGCAGTAACGTTCGACACGCATTAATTGCTATCTCTGGCAGCCCATTATCTATACCATACAATACATTAAAGAAATCATGAAAAATGTGAATGCCGAGCGCTGTCACGAAGTTTGGTTACGAAATTTAATTACCCAAATCAACAGTTTACAATATAATCACGTTGTCAGCTCATTCCAAAAATCAATTATCGAAAATAAGTCAGTCAAATTCCTTCTCGTTAATTATAATGTAATGTTGGGCATAGGGTTCTTTCTTTAAATGAATATAGATATGTATCTGTCTTTGAAAACAGGTTATTTCGGACCAAACGCTTTCTCTCAGACAAAGGATATGAACATTATACTTAATTGTGATTACCGTATTGATTTGACTCTCAAACAAATGACAACCGAGTAGACGGTCTTATCAGGTATCGAGCATGTCCTTGATAAGTCTTTGGTATCTGTAGTTGTCATGACCAGCTGCTGATACATCATTCTTTTGTACTACACAAAACATGTCACTCTCTGATCCTCACTTTCAGCCAACTCCGGAAGAGAAGAACGTTATTGATCTCTGAGTATAAAAGAATCATGCTGAAAAATCTTACACAAAAGGAGACGATGTCAAAGCTTCGCTGCTGTTCTTTATGAACTCCATCTGATTGTCGGTCACTTTCACTATTGAATTTCATACAAACCTCCATTTTCAAACAAGCTCTACGAAAGAGTCTCGGCAAGATAGAGACGTGAACAGAACGTGGAGTTGACAGCATGCATTTTCATTTACATGCAGCACATGGCTACATGGCTGCGGAATGAGTGGCTAATAGACCTTTTAGGCAAAGCTGTTTGATCCTCGAGTCTGACAGACTAACTCCTCATTCACAGGAACTTCTGAGAGGTCAGCATGTGTGCACGGCCAGTGACTTAGAAAATTGCATGATGATTTATCTAAGGCCTAGAAAAAAATGTTTCCTGTTTCAGTCCTGAAAAATTAGGGTCGGTAGGTAGGGATTTTCGATTCTTTCTTTTTCTTTTCTTTTTCTTTTCTTTTTTTTTTCTTTTTGTTTTAGACTGGTGATCTCTAGTGATCCAACTTATGGTACAATACACTTTAACAAAGTAAAACATGCACGATGAGGACACTTACATTTTCAATGTCAATGTTAGAAAATTGATTGTGCAACACCTCATTACTCAAGTGTGAGATGGAGCTAGAAAAGGTCGATCAGCTCGAATTATGTATGTCCCTTGCAGGGATCCACAAAAGAAGTCTAGGATTGGCAGTTTTTTTCTAGGGTCAATCAGGAAGCAGGAAACACAATATTTTTTCCTAGGCCTAACCTTGTCTCGCTGTTTTTGTTAACGCTATGTTCAATTGTAGCTAAATGTTTTGAGCTTCTGTGCACGAAACTGTTGTTTTGGGTGACTGATGCCATGTTCAACCTGTTGTAACGTTTGGGTTGATGCTATGTCTGAAAATAAGGGGTGGCCACCTATGGATTTTTTTTACAAATGCATTATTTTTTGTTTGCTTTCCAAAGTACAAATTCAAGGTTTAATACGACAATGGGCTAATTTACAAAACCAATCCTTGTACCTACCCGTGTAAAATTGTAGGAATAGATGATTGATTGTTGCAAGCCGGATGTCATTTCATGGGTGCCCGGGGCAACAATACCGCCATTAAGGCATCTAACAAATCTTGAAAGACGATTGACGTCATAAGACGTCGTTTCGAAATGGTAATCAGTCACAGCTGTCAGTGTTTTTTTTTTAATTCAAGCCGAAGGACACACGAGGCAGTTTGATTGTCCCATCGAGCTCAATCAGCAGCCATTTTCTTTTTTATGTTTACCTTTGTAGAATGAAAACATATTGTTTTTGCTCGCTCTGTTGTCTTCCTCTTCTTCCTCTCCAAACAAATAAGGTCAATGACCTGAACCAGACGTCTGTCACCATGGTAACAAGTGCTAGGTTACATCATGTTGCAATATTATAGCAGGAGGGATTTAGACTCCTGTCACCATATATATGAATGTGTTTGAGTAAGAATTAACAGAGCAGACCATATGCAAAGGTAAATATTATGAATTTGCTTTGCAAATGTTGCATTTCTAGTTTTTTATCTTTATTTGTCAAAGTAACAGTACATTACATACAAACTGATTTGAAATCAGCACTATACAGAACAAAAAAGAGAAGGGCCTCCTGTTAAGCCTAATATTTAGTCATTTTCTTTATGTACCTCATGTTGACTGCTCGAAGGTCCCTTTCAATTGTTTCTGCTTCGGTATGCATAATTTGCACCAAGATTAACAGTTTTATCCGGTTGAAAATATTAGATTTAAAGTAGAATATCAAAACAACATAAATATTCGAAACCTGTAGGAGGAAAGGCCCAATGAAAAAAATATACAGATGATACAGTCATACAGTTGCTGTTATTGTATTGTTGGTCGCACCCATCGTACACACCCATCCTATATTCTCTACGATTCGATTCAGTTGTCACAATATTATTTTAAATCAAAATTGCCACTTTGTCACTTTGATAAATCACATCGTAGCTGCCCTTTTTCAATTCCACATGTACACGTGATACCAAAACACAGTAAAGAACGAGAAAGAGAGGTTTTGACAAATCCCCAATCTCTTTTTTAAAAGGATAATCCACTTAACAGGGTGGAAATGAAGGTCGTTCCAGTCTCCTAGGCGCTAACAGCTGTAGATCTAGAAGACAAATTACTAAGGAGCGAGTAGACCTTTTATGATGCCTTCATCCACTGCAGGATTATGACAATACTCTGCCTTCGGCAAATATTTCACTTGGCAGATTTTCAAGAATATTCCGAAAAGCCATTTGCACAACTGCAGACATCAGTATGCGAGACTCGAATGGCAATTAGTTCATAGAAAATGCTGATATCTTTCTGGAAGCAAAATAGGATGCTAGAAGGGTATTTAAGGTGACTACAGCCTGACGTTATAATAGATTGGTGCAAGTTACGAATATACGGCATGTTCTCAGTCACCTTGGCACAGTTGGCAAGGTCAAAAAGTCAGATCTTTATCTAAAACCTGCTGAATTTGAAAATAAAGATTTACAAGCAGGGCTTTGGCGCTTAACCAAAAGCCACAAACTTCAGTGATGCACATATCATGTTTATTCATTCGCCAATCTTAATATTTGGAATCGTTACACTGTTTAAGGAAGCTAAAAAGCTGTGCAAAACAATTAATCCATACTTAATACCACCTTAATAGTGTTTTTGCTTTCTTAACGCAACGTGCTGTAATACATGTACTCTTAAGAGAAGCCCTCGGAAAGATTTAAATTCACTGACGTGATGAATGTTTAACCCAATGGATCCCCGCCAGAATCCTCAAGATTAGAGCATAAACCATTTTCCCCATGCAGGACTGCCAAGCAAGCAACTTAGTCACATGAATAATCGACAGACGTTAACTTCTTGCTGCCATCATTCATGAAGAAAGCAGCTTACTTCGTCTTGAAACACCATTGAGTTTGTTCGCGTGCTGGGAATAATGTACTGCCTGAACATTCCTGTACACATATAAAAACGTCCATCTAGGTAATGAAGAATGCGAGACTTGAATAGTCACACAAAACATTACTTTCAGAAATAATATCAATTGCGAAAGTAATATGTAAATAAGAAACATGATAGTACGCAATTAAAATAAGAATGAATATAAAACCTTGAAATAAAAAATAACCAATTTGGAATATAACTTTAAATTCATCTTAGATTATCATGCGGAATTAGAAAATATGTGCGAAAATTGCCATGGAGACAAATGTGGAACGAATGTGTGAATGGGGAATTTATTCTAAAAGTCACTTAGAATAAAGCTAGTAAAGTTTATACACTGCAGGACTAGACTAAAGCTAGTAAAGTTTCACACTGCAGGAATATCTAAAAATGAAATCTCTTTGACGGGTCTCTGGGCAGCGCGGCCAACATGAAATAAGAGATCTATTGACACATAAAACTGGCGCAGGATCCTCACAGGAAGAAACCAGCCTCTGTGCTGTAATTTACATGTCTGACCTCCAGACCTTCGGTAGAATATTATGATACATATAGGTATCTATATGTGACGGTACTGTAAGTGTATTTTTTGATGGCATGGTTGTGGATCAGACTGTGTCTCTTCTTGTCATAATACTAGTAACTTCAGTTGCCTGGTGTGGGGGAGGCGATTTTGACAGTGGATTGATAAGCCACTGTCAAAAGTGGATTGTAATGATATTTGGTATGTTGGTAGGTCGTAGGAAGACCAAGGTACTGCAGCAGAAATTACCTTCCGTTTTTTTGTATCTTTTGTCCTGAATATGATGTGGTCTTGACTACAAAAACTCGACATATTTAATCTAGGTATGATGTCTCTGAATTCTTTCTTTCTTTGTATTGTAGAATCCGGCATTCAAAGAAATAAAGTGAACACATTTTTTGGGGGGCCAGTCCATACTTCCCAGACCTCTCCCTATCTCCTGTTTAGTGATGTGTTCTTTTTTTTAGCTCTATAAAAAATGGAGGTATTGTTTTTGGTCTCTTGACTTTTTCCAAAAACAGTTATAAGGTCTCTGAATTCTTGTTTATGCGTTTTCTTTGTATTGCAGAATCCGGATGCTGTTTAACCCCCCGGGGAGCCACTTCACGGGCCGGCAGATCGCCGTGACGGTGGGGACCATCTGGGTCGCAGCCGCCGCCACCATGCTTCCCCAGGCGCTGTACCGGCACGAGACGGCCTACCCCATCCCGCTCGGGCGCAGCATCAGCCTGTGCGTGGAGGACTGGCCTCTGAGCAAGCTCTACACCCTCCTGCTGTTCGTCATCTGCTACCTGATCCCTCTGCTGGTCACGGGCGGTCTGTACATCACCATCTGCATCCACCTGTGGTACAAGAAACCTGCGGGAGAAGACGAGGCGGCCAGGCAGAAGACGCTGAAGATGAAACAGGTTATGAAGATGCTGTATATAGTAGAGGGGTTTCATTCCTCAAGCTTAACGACAACTCGCACACGCAGTCGTCCCTCATTAAGACACTTGGAGCCGCATAGTTCCCGTTTAGAACTTTTATTCAGTCTGTCACACGACCGGTTTCGCCTGTGTGGCTTCTTCAAGTGTACAGAGGCTAATGAAGTTCTCACTTATATATATTAACGTGCATAGTGCCCTCAGGTCAGTTACATGGCGTTCAGATCGCCTTGACCTGTTACATAGTTCGTTCTGACCTTGGTTGACCTACTACATGACAGCATCTATTGTTACAGGACAATTAAAAATGTCATAAAGGTCGCGAGTACCATCTTACAGAAAACGAGGAATAAAGAGAAATCCATTTTCTTCTTTATTTTCTTCTTTCAGGTTATCAAGATGCTGATCACCATCGTGGCCATGTTCGCCCTGTCGTGGCTGCCTCTGTACGCGTGCTGGATTCTGGAGGATTTCGGGCCGCTGTCTTTTGATCAGAAGGTGATCATGATGTCGTACGTGAACCCGATCGCCCACCTGCTGGCGTTCTCCAACAGTTGTGTGAATCCTGTCGTGTACGGCTACTTCCGGCCGCAGCTGCGGAGGGAGGGGTGCCTGGCCATGTACGCGTGGTGCGTGTGCGGCGGGGCCAAGCGGCAGGCGCCTGCAGCAGCACCTGCGCCGCCGCCGCAACCCATGCAGCTGCGACAAGCCCCCTTGCGAGAACATCGCAAACTGCAGCGACTGCAGTACGTGTAGGTCCAAACCGAACGTGTTGGTATTGGTTTCAGATAGGAAAATATCTGTCAGAATACGCGTACTTAAAATCGGGAAGCATGATAAATTGTCCATTTATGAGAATATTTTTCTAAGATATCAATGATTTTAAAAAACAGAAAGAAGGGTGAAAGAAAAATGGATATATTCCCGATAGAAATTGCAACGTAATTCAACATACAATATCTGACACTTAAGTGAATTCGATGAGTGTGCCATCTATTACATATCTACACAGTAACTAGTTATGTGTGAACAGGCAAGTGGGCAAGGTGTTGTGTGTTTATTAATGGTTTAATGGTTTTTCAGGTTATAATTTTGTACCGCGATTTTAGTTTTAATGTATGTAGGTTTACTATTTAATGTCCATTTTGTTTGTAAAGGTGCCTTGATGATGTAATTTATCCAGTAATATTTATCCAGACGTTGAGTGTATCCATGTATGTTCTAATCTGTCAATTTGTTGGATTATTTTCCGTGTTGTATAACATTAGACTACACCAATCATATATGGTTTTTCTATCTGGTTTCCTATGTACGTTACTTCTGTATATTAAATATTGATGGATGAGACAAGGATATTGTCTTTAAAGAAATAAACTGAAAGCTTCATATGGACTACGTTTAAATCAGACGCCTAAAACATCATTTGTAGTAAGATGTAAATCTTTGTGATTTAAAAAGACCTCTTGGATATCACTCAATGTTGGCGTTGCATAAAAAGTGCAGAAGTATTTTGTTGTAACTGTACCGTTACAGACTAACTTTATGTGTATCGTGCCAGGGTGATCATACTCTATCTGGAGTAAACTGTAAAGAGTCTGCAGACCAAAAAGGAATGCTGGCAAGAACTATTTGTTATCTTCAAAGTTCATCTGTGTTGGTAGAAGTCATTATGCAGCAAGATTAAACTGTAATTTTCAACACAAGAAATTGGACTCACCCAAAATTCATTCCTTGACAAAACTGTAGTTGTCGAAAATTTGGGTGAGTCCAATTTCTTGTGTTGGAAATTACAGTTTAATCTTGCTGCATAAGAACTATTTGTGTATCACGTGTCTTTTCAATGGAATAAACTACACAAGTCAATTATCGTATTGCTTTGGATTCCTCTTATTTCTGTATTCTTGTTATTTTGCGGTCATCTCGTTTCTTGTATTGATTTTATGACCACAGGAAGAATACTTCAGTGTCTAAATAAAGTCAAATAAGTGACATATTCAACTGTGGCGATGTTGTAACCATTTATCAAAGTTGGCTCAGATGCTAGAAACATCATACCATTTACATTATTTGTCATTAGTTGAAGCTGATTATGTGTGTAACATTTTATGTATAATAAACTTCTAGCGACGTTGTACCTAACTGCATTCCTACTTATTAAGCTTTGTAAACACTTGTCAGGAGTTGACACGACATGCTACTTTTTGCACTGCTATATATCGTAGTGGGAAAATGTCCACTTCGGAAATATGTCCACCAAGAAATCAGAAATAAAACCAGAAATAAGCAGTCTGCTATTTGTCTTGTTACCGATGTAAATAGAGTCTAACGAGCCTGATGTTAGTCAGACTGGAACTCCTATTTCTTTCGTAGTGATTTGATACTTAGAAAGATCGCAATCTTTCTTCAGGCATTCCCTGGGCAGTAACCCTGTACGTGTACACAATACCGTTTATTTCACCGAGGTAGTTGAGAACGATGTCACGTGACACTCGTTCCCAGGCTCCTGTGTTCTGCAGTTCCAACATGGCGGGTTCCAACCTGTCCTTGTACTCAGGTACCTTCCACAGGCACTCTTCTCGCATGATGAAGCTGATGTAGCCACCTTTAAAAATATACAAGTAGTGAAATATCAAAACTTATATGTAAATCCACACATCTCCAATGAAATTACACGTACACTGTTAGCTTTTTTAATCGCTGTAACACTAAAGTTAGAGAATATATTTCATACTATCGTGCAAGTTCATCTGTGTTGGTAGTCACATGTTTAAAGTTAAAACTTATGTTTCAACACAAAGAATGGTTCTCACCTAGAGCTTTTGACCAGTCACTCTGGTCTTCCTCAGTAAACTCTGTTAACGTCACACTTCAGAGAAACCACGTGACAAGTCTCACTGGGTCCGTCTACTGAGGAAGACCAGAGTGACATGGTCGAAAGCTCTAGGTCAGAACAATCCTTGTGTTCATGTTGGAACAGAAGTTTTAACTTTGAACAAGAATCTATTTCATACCTGGTTTGACAATACGAATCAGTTCCGGTAAACAGTTGACCTTCAGGTGACCCCAGTTAAAAGCCCCTGATGATACGATTCCATCGTACGTATCTGTGAAAATTGACATTTTTGTATTTATCGTAACATATCGTAAATCTTTCAAACTTATAAGTGTAGACATTATAAAACCAAGGAGGTTAATAATTTTTTTAACCTCCTTTATAAAACATAAAGATTGAAATATTTTTCGATGAAGGATAGACATCCATGTCACAAGATACACAAAGAATTGATGCTCAAGCAACTGGATGATTTTAAAACTGACAGACGTATCGAGCATTCACTAGTACTACTTTTCATCAGTGACATTTCGTCTTTTCAGCGACTTTTCGTGAGCAACGGTTCCTTGATTAAATGTTTATAAATGCACTTCTTTTTCAGTAATTAGACCGTAGACTGAACTATAGATTCTGAAATACAGATTCTGAAACTAGAGAAGTAATATTTGCAAAGCAAATGCATAATGTTTACCTTCAGACATGGTCTGCTCCGTTAATTCTTACTCAAACCATAGAACGTCCTTACTCAAACACATTTACATACATGTAATTTTACTAGTATGTGGTGACAGGAGCAGAGCAGACCATGAAATTGCAACATTATGTAACCCAACACCAGTCACCATGGTGACAGTGGTCAACAAATCATGTCATTGGTCAGGTCAGAGGTCACTGTTTGGAGAAGAAGAAGAGGAAGAAACAGAGCAAAAACAATATGTTTTCCTTCGGTAAACATAATAAAAGAAGTCATGGCATTCGAGAGTACCGTCTTCAATATCCAGCCGCTCATTCGTGACGATGGCACAGATGTACTTCCGGTATAAGCCCTTCTGGGCAGCGATGTCCAACATCTTCTGGCTGGCATCGATGGCGTCGACGTTTTTGAAGGATAACTTAGACAGCTGCAGGATGCGGTGCGAAGCAAAATTTACCTCGGTATTTTATTAGCTACTCTCCTTGTGTACCTTACTTTGTATTGGTTTTATCATTCACGTGTTAATAAAGAGTACATATACAAATATGAAAAGATTTCGACATGCAACAAATCATCTGCTTCTTTACAATACGTGGATTAGCAAAACTGAGATACATTCTAAAAACTATATACATTATCACATACCTGCATTATTTGTACATAATATTGACAAACCCTTAATTTGAATTCCTTTTCAAGACCCCACTGTTAACGTCAATTACTCGATAAGGCTAAGTTGAATATTATGATTTATGATAAAACTTAAATCTTGATTATTTCCTCTGACTTTACGTTTAAACAAATGAAATTTCGCCATCCTACCTCTTCAGCACACAGCCCCGTCCCCGCCCCCAGATCAAGAATCAGAGCGTCTCTGTTGTCGCCCAGCACCTTCGCCAGGGCCGCTGAGGACAGGAAAGGGCCGCCAAAAACCCCTACATGGTCCTAAAGCAACAGTGAACATTAGTGGGGTTGTGTGGCGTAACGATAGAGCATTCGGCTCAGAAACAAGAGGTCCCAGGTTCGAATCCTGCCATGTCACCAACCTTGTGCCGTTGGGAAAGGTCTTAACACTTTTTTTACCTCGATCAGGTGTCACTGAGTATGCCAGAATTATCATTTATAATGATCGTGGGCATTAATAGAAAAAAAACAATGTATACTAATTATGTTTCAGTCCATACTATATTGTGTGGATGAAATATATTGCTTTTCCTTGTGTTTCCCCCCTTCTTCTCCTCCTCCTCCTGTCATTTGGTCAAATTGATTCAACCTCTTGAATGAGGAGGAAGATGGGCTGAAAAATGCTGTATTTGTTTGCTCCCTAGTGAACCTCGAAACCTATCTGCCTTTCTAGTTAATGTATCTATTGTGTTGAATATTAAGATACATGTATGCATGTATACCGGTTTACTCTTTTTCCAAGAGATACAAATTCTCTTTCACATTTTGGAATGAGGAGGGAGATGGACTGAAAAATGCTGTATTTGCTGGCTAGCAAACCTTTAAACCCTATATGCCTTTCTAGTTTATGTGTCTGATATGCATGTATGTCAATGTGTATCTCGTTTTCAAAGAGATACAAATTTCCTCTTAATCGCACAGACAAAAAACTAATGCGGATATAGCCGAACCGCCTTTATGAATAATCTCCAAGCAGATCTTTTGGTGGGGGTAAGACAGTATCAAATTGGCCAGTCTGTAACCATTTCCCCACCCAAGTTGGTGGTGGTAGCGACAAAAAGAGGGGCCATATATAAAAAGCAAACGATCTTCCACCATCAACCTTTGCTTGGAGAGTAATTATGAAGAGAAAACACAAGCCTTGTCATAGTCCTCCGCCCAGGTATCATAAGCCTGGATCACCTCCGGCAGGGTGATGTCAGGCCGTCCGACCGCGGCTTTTCTTTTGTCGTTGCTTTTGTCTAGCTTTGATCCCCAGTCTGCCATTCTTGCACGCTACAAAGAAAAGGACCACAAAAGAGTCAAAGAAAAAATATAAGTCAAAGAAAAAATATATCATATCAACTATCAATGATGACGGCCCCAAATATGAGATGCATAAAATATCTACATTGTTGCACTGGAAAAACTCTGTAGATATGAAAACGTATTTTTTAAAACATTACATGCGTATTTTACTGCACTATATACAGCTGTTTACATACCCATAGAACGGGGTGAAACCGTGCGTAACCATACGTAGAGGCAAGGACTGAAGATATCGCGTTCTATTGATGGAGAAGGTCACAACGATTAATAATAAATGATATCCATCGTGTCGTTACCACAAACATTCTACATGTACCTGTTGTTGTAACTTTTTTTCACGTTCTCATAACCTGGTGCCTTCGCGATACGGTGAAAATCATGAATTTGTGGTATCCGTTCGATCTTCCGGTTAAAACAACAGTTATAATCATGAGTGGCAACACGATGGAAATGTTGATGATGAACTGGTATATTTGCAACACACGTACATGTACCATTGCAGCCTTACATGGCTGAATTGGGGTATGATACACATTCAAATTTAGCATGTAAGGTTCAACAATTCGACAATAAAAGGTAAAGTTAGCAGCAGTTACCAGTGTGCACGAGGTGGAGCGGTCTTTTATTAATCTGTACAAAATTAGCATGTAAGGTTCAACAATTCGACAATAAAAGGTAAAACACTATTCTTAAACCTAGACGTCCTGCAGCTAAACTGACGATGTATGAAGTTCACTCATACCTGATTTTGACGGAACAGTGTCTCTGTGTTCTTCGTGTAGCAGCAGTTACCAGGTGTGCACGAGGTGTAAAACCTAGGAGCGGTCTTTTACTAATCTGTACTGTACGTCACGGAAAATTTTGTGACCTGGGGGTTTGTATGTCATAGCGACAGGGCGCATGCATGATAAGCTGGTTTAACTGGACCTTTATACTCGTATACAAAAGGTCTATCCATTCCTGATTACTGGCCGCCTCAAACTAATCTCATGGGGGTGCGTCGACTACGCTCTACGTCTACATATAAACTGTCCTATGGACGCAACACACAAGTTTTGTAAAGAAGAAGAAGAAGAAGGTCTCCCTTGCTCTTGCCCGAGCGTAGGGTGGTGCCCATCTCCATTTCGTGGCCCTTGGGCGACACACAATTGTGCAATGCACTACAGCAGGGGGCTAGTCAGTTGGTAGTGCTGTGTGTTTGACCTTCCCACAGTCTTTCTCATATGTGCTTGTAAAGCAAACAAGAAATATGTTTATAATTCAGCCCTGTGGGCTGCCAGTTGTTCAATCGAAATAAACCAATTTAATGATAATAATATATTCATATAGTGCCTGGCACGGAACGTAAACAATTAAACGGAGGTCGTAATAGGCAAACTATCGGTACTTAGGGTCCATGCATATGCTTCACACTAAAAATATTATTTTCCAACGTTCTTATTGTCCTGGGGAAGGTAGGCATGTATTATGTGATATATACATGTGTGTAGTTAGCACAAACACAAGGACATCAACACCACGTGATCTGTCAGGTCACTTGTTGACCTTTCGTTGACAAATATTTCAAAGTCCAGACTACAGAGACTGAATTGCGCACCACATTTCTGGTGTTTCAAACGGTGAGTAAAAACTGCGTTTTTTATTCTTCAGCACGCACATGTATGTGCTAATTAGAGCCCATCAATACAGACAGTAGATTTAGCAGACCTCGGATCAATGGAAGCAGCTGCATGTACCATTACATGCCAACTTAATCCTAGATAAGTAGCAGGTCTGTTCTGTCCTGAAAGCTTCGCTCTGAAAACTTGTTTACGGCCCATTTCTAGTCCTTGTGCCCATGTAAAAAAATCTATGAATGTTCCAGACCTCATTGTATGGTATACCATAGAGATTGAAGTTGTATTCTATAAAACTTTACTGCCGTAACTTTTCTACCTATACGGAGGATGCACTTACAGCACTTACAGCTGTGCCTCTTGCTAGCGTAACGTTTGTAAGTACGGTCAAAATTCAGCGGCTGCCATATAATTACAACGCGCTTTGAATAAGTTACAGTGTTTTTACAGTTAAGTCCCTGCACAATGGCACTAAAAGATTACTAAGTAAGCCATTAAACTATGCCACACGCGTGTATTGGTAAGTGGCACTGTGTAAATTATAACATTTTATAACAACCTCAATGTCATGTTTCAAGAGATCGAAATAGCTGGGATTGTCTGATAAAACTCACATGAAGATGGCATACTGTATTTAGAGCTTATTGATCGACATTGATACCTACAATAGCTTCTGATATCTAGTATTATATATACGCAACCATTACGATCGTTTCAAGCTATATAATAAATACGTGTATTTATTGCCTTTTGCACAGGAAAAGTGGTAACGACACAATTCAAGATGGCGTCCCTCATCACAAAACAGCTATTTCTTGTCATCGTGATGACCTGTCTGTTAGAATGTTTCCTCTGTGCCGACTGCCCCCAGAGTTGCTCTTGTGTCTCCTCTCCCCCCTATTTCACCGTCACATGTAACAGTCCAAACCTCACGAGCGTCCCTAGCGGAGTTCCCAGGAACTGCACCGGCTTTGTCATCAGGGGAACTAAAGTCTCTGCCCTTAGAAACGGAGACTTAGCAGGACTGCCCAACCTGAACACGATCTATTTCGACAACAACCAAATTTTTACCGTTGAAGTTGATGCATTCGTTCCCAGTCTGACTTATATCGAAATGGTGCAGAACGAAATATCTGCTTTACCGGCAGGTGTTTTTGGTCGTCTGAAGAAACTGACCAGTCTCGATATGCGATGGAACAGGATAAAATCGATTCCAAAAGGTTGTATTAAGGATCTTCCTCTGTTACAGGTTGTCTACTTGGAGGGGAACGGGCTTGAGAGTATTGAGGTGGGGGCGTTTTCAAATACGAGCAAGCTGACTGTGATCAGCCTTGAAGACAACAGTATCACTGAAATTCGCAAGGGGGCGTTTCTTGGGCCACAGGCGAAAATGGCAAACGTGGGGCTGGCAAGAAATGCCATATCCCACATTGATGAAGGGGCATTTGCAGTCTTCGGAAATCTTGGCGGTCTAGGCTTGGCGAACAACAGCTTGAAATCGGTAGAGGGCGCTTTTAGTGGTTTAAAAGCAGTGGGGGGTCTCGATCTGAGTTATAACAAATTACAATCCTTGTCAGACGCTGCTTTCTCCGGAATAACAGAAATGTCCACGCTGAATTTGGCTTTCAATGAAATTGAAGTGATCTTCGGCAAAACGTTCGCGAGTCTCTCCACTCTCACAGTGCTGGGTCTTCAGAGCAACAAGCTCGCAAGTTTTGACGTTGTGCTTCCGAACACTCTGACTACACTGGAGCTTCAAAATAACCTGCTCACTTCATTTCCAAACCTTCCTACGAGTCTGACATATTTGGATATTTCCTCCAACCCTATCGAATTCATGGCAGACAAACAGTTTGCAAAGTTAGGCAGCCTTACGACCTTGTGCCTTTCCAATATCAGATACTTCAGACAGAAGGGTACTATCGACGCTGGGATCTTACAAGGTTTAAGTCAGCTTACCACACTGAAACTAGCTTCCAACAACCTGACTCAGGTACCGTCCTCGGCGTTACAACACTTCCCACAGATGTCAGAAACACTGGACCTCTCCGACAACCAGATCACTTCCCTACATCCCGGAGACTTCACTAACCTGTCCAATCTCTACATTCTGATCTTGAAAGGAAACAACATAACCTCCGTATCGCCTGACGCCCTCAAGCCTTTAAAAGGACTCTTTTCTCTCGATCTTTCCCATAACCCGATAGTTTACCTTGGCCCCGATCTCTTCAAATGGCAAAGTCAGAGCATGTACGAAGTTAAGCTGGAAGGTACAAAACTACGGCTGATCGACGGGGACATCTTTAATTCTTCAACTGGGATGAAGTCGTTATTTTTTGAAAATAACGACATGCGCTACCTGCCATGGAACGTCTTCAATCCACTGACGTATTACGGTGAGACACTTTCCTTCATTTTTGTATTTATTGAAACAGATGTAGAGATACAGAGTACGTTAAAGATCTCACCACACTTATCGACGTTCCCTGTGTGAATGTTACGCAGCTTGTCATCTTAAGAAGATCATACGGTGGCAAGGCAGTATCCATTGGCCAGGAGTTGAGCTATAAGTGGCTATTAGACACGCCTCTGGCCAATGGATGCTGCCATGCCATCGTATGATCTGTTTGGAGATCACAGCTTGTACTTACAGTACAAAATCCGGTGTTACACCAAGGAGGGCCTGCAAGGGGGGGTAGTGATTACGAATTACGCAAAATTTTCGCCGCCTATTACGAATTACGTTAAAGTTTCAGAGCTGATTACGACTTTACGATTTGCGGCTAACGTCCAATTACGAATTACGTTGATTTTTGTGGAGGCCGCCTACGAATTACCTAGAATAAGTCTAAAACGGCCTGATTACGCCTTACGAAAAAGGGCTTGCAGGACCAAGGACGTCCTTGGTTACACCCAAAGCGGTTTAACGGTTATGTGAAACAGAGAGACCTGTCTCCCGTAGGTGACCCACAGGAGGCTCTAGACCTGGAGTCGAACCCGTGGCTGTGTGACTGTCAGATGTACGAGTACGCGCGCTGGCAGAACTCCACACAGGGCATCGTGGCCGCGTCACTGACATGTCAGGATCCACCCGAGCTACGGAACAAGACACTGCGCGAGGTATGACAACAAAAAACACATGCAAGAAATTGATATTTAGACTTCTGAGAAGTATTTCTTTAGGTTGTTGTGAATTAATTTATTTGAACAACCAAGAATATGTATGACGTAATTCAAGCGGGACAGGGTTGGAGGGTCACTCAATTCAATCCTAGGCTTCCTGAATTCCCCCATTCGTCGACCTCTAATTCCTGCTGACCTGCTCCTAGCCTGATTCTGAAACCTTCAATCACCTGAGATTCTGCCTGTCAATCTTCCCCACCCAACGTGCTACCAACCCACAAGCATACACGCAAACCACATTTTCGTACCCGTAAACGTTTTTGTAAGAAAATGCCATCGATCAATTTGCACATATTTCCTTTTTATTAACCCCATTCCTACCAGATTCTGTAAAACTTCAAGTTCACCCAATTTTCTTTTCACCTCCTGGCATTCTGCCTGTCATTCTTCCCTACCTACGTGCTGTCAACCCACTCTGTATGGACAAACATACACGCAACCCCACCCATATATAACAATATTTCCGTACCCGTAAAGATTTAAAGAAAACGCCATTGAACATTTGTCTTTTTTTTCCAACTCCTTTCAAGCACCTGGGACTCTGTTATTCTTCCCCACCCAAGTGCTGTCAACCCACAATCCATCCAAAACAATATTTCTGTACACATAAAGGTTTAAAGAAAATGTTTAAACATATATATTTCGTTTTTCCAACTCCCCAGATACCGCTGGAACAGTTCAAGTGTATCTGTTCACACTTCTCCACGCCAAGCATCGACACGACCGGAAGTGACGCCAACGCCACATCCGGCCAGGGCGCTGTTCTGAAGTGTAACGTCACGGCCTGTCCCGAGGCTGTGATCCTGTGGTCCACCCCCAGGGGGATAACTCTCGCCAATAACTCACCACATCCCGGTGCGTATCAAAGGACTGTATGATATGTACAGGGGTGCCAAAGAATCCATTAGAATTTTATGGAATTCAATACGATCCTTACTAGGAAACATACGAATTTTAAGAAATACATACAATCCATTGATACAAACATACGAATGTTACGGAATACATACGATCCATTACTAGAAACATACGAATTTTACGAAATACATACGATCCATTACTAGACACATAAGAATTTTACGGAATACATACGATCCATTACTAGAAACATACGAATTTTACGGAATACATACGATCCATTGCTAGAAACATGCGAATTTTACGGAATACATACGATCCATTACTAGAAACATACGAATTTTACGAAATACATACGATCCATTAATAGAAACATACGAATTTTACGACATACATACGATCCATTACTAGAAATATACGAATTTTACGAAATACATACATACGATCCATTACTAGAAACATACGAATTTTAAGGAATACATACGATCCTTACTAGGAAACATGCGAATTTTACGAAATACATACGATCCATTACTAGAAATATACGAATTTTACGAAATACATACATACGATCCATTACTAGAAATATACGAATTTTACGAAATACATACGATCCATTACTAGAAATATACGAATTTTACGAAATACATACATACGATCCATTACTAGAAACATACGAATTTTACGGAATACGTACGATCCCTTACTAGGAAACATACGAATTTTACGAAATACATACGATCCATTACTAGAAACATACGAATTTTATGGAATACATACGATCCATTACGCGGAAACATACAATCCTTACTAATTTGGGGTCATTTGGTGACTTGTCGCCGCCATCACTAACTTGAACTCCCAATTCATTGTCTTTATTTCATAATGTATGATTTTATATGTAATTCTAGGCCTGGAAGTTCTGGACGATGGGTCGCTCGTGATCGTGGAGACCGTCCCGGCCGACACGGGCACATACTCCTGCATGGCCGCCAACTACCTGGGCCAGACCACGGCGTATCTCCGACTGGAGGTCATCCCAAGCTCCCGGCTTCCCTAAGGATATGTTGATAACACTACTGATAACTCTATGTAGAGAATGTGTGTTAAGACGAGATATATAAGGTAGTAGGCTAGTAGCCTGACTACCTCACGTTTCTCACAGCCCTTCCACTTGCTACGTCCCTACGAATGGTGCATATATGTACTAACATTGACCAATTGTTGTCAAAATGAGAACTGACTGTTACAGTAGTGTTGGAGGCAGTGATGTTTCCATAATTGTTCTCGGTGGGTTAGAGTTGTATGTCCACAATCTCTCTTGTGTGCTGTGGGTCCCAGTAAGTACGACAGCGAGAGATTGCCTAACACAGGCAATCGAAACGTAGCTCAGTTTAACGCTCGTTTACAGACAAATCAGTCAAAGAAATTGAAATTATGTTATACAATGTCAACTATTTGTGAGTATTTTGCAGTTTATGATCCATTTTCAACAGATACTGCGAAGTTTTGCAGTCGATGAAACGTCAGCTACTCGTCAAGTGTTTGTGAACTCAGGGACGATTTAACAGGTGGTGATCTATGGTAGAAACACGACACAGTTGGAGGATTCCGACGAAAACAAAGAAATGAGTCATTTACAGTGTGTTAAACCTATATACACAAGTCTGTCAATATGCTGCGACGTGAGCTAGGCACTATACACTTTGTGTACACATCGGAATGTCAGTACATCATGTAAATGGTGAAGTCATTTGCATCAATGATGATGAAAGATAAATTGGAATTCTGCCAAGTTATACAATAGTCCTTTTACTTTCTTCCTTTTCTTCTTCTTCTTCTTCCTTTCACACACAAAATAAATGTGTACGTTCGCCAATATATGACATGAATTGGGTATTCAACAATAGCTTGTTTTTTATTATATCTCCTTGTATGTCATAAAAACAATCATACTGGAATATTTAGACTAGGCGAAGCGTTAAGGTCCCCGAGAAAACCGGACAAGAGCGTGCAGAAGACAGGAGATGAATTAGAAAGGAAGCGGCTTGCCAAAACTTGTCATCGAGCCACTGATGTTCCATGTCACAGATAATGTCGCTATACAAGACTGACCTTTCCAGTCACCAGAAAACATTCATTTACCTGCATTACTACCTCCCAATGGTCCCTGAAGACGGGGAGCGGGCTGATGTAATGAAAAAGTGTGAACATTAACTAGATAATAAATCTCAAGTTTGTTTATTTTTGTTAACGACAACGAACGCCGACGAAATACGTACATGCGTATCACGTATGTCGTTGTGTCGTTTTGTCGACGTGTCCTTACATTTTGGAACGTGTGGTATGGTCTTGACTCTTAGTTCATTTTGCCGGCGTTAGCATAATGTGCATGTGATATATAATAGGGTGGCACCGTAGCTAGAATACATGTAGAGACATTCTGTGTTTAGGTGGGGGAAAATTAGCACCTACATGTACATGTAGCTAAGTTAAATTGAGGCGCTCATGCCTCAAGCACGTTTAAAGAACCCAACACTCTTTCCACACACAAGCGCGCGCACACATGCAAGCACACACACACAGACACACACACACAGACACAGGCACAGGCTCACACACACAGCCACATACACACACGCACAAACGTGCACGCACCCGCGACGCGCGGCACCAAAAACAAAACCACGGCGAAGGCAATAAAAAGAGTTGAGTGATTGTCGTTAGCTGCACCCTGGTAATTGCCACCCTTAAGAAAAAGTACACACAGAAAAACACATCACTATTTGCCTGTCAATCAGCCGCGGTCAAATGTCAACAACACACGTCATCTCCCGCAGCAAACACCGTCAGTACAGTTCCAGGAACTCCCCGCCCCATGATGCAATATTTCACGTTAAGGAACGCCCCCATATGTCCAGACTAGGGTGCCCTTAGCCTCTTTTGCAGGTGTTCCGGGATCGGTCGTGTGTTTGTGTGTGTGTGTGTGTGGGGGGGGGGTGACATATACTAGAGTTGCCAGCCAGAGTTTCTAATGCGTACGATCTACGTTTGCTAAAAAAATCAAATCTGCCCCCCCCAAAAAACAAATATATGAATCAACTTTATTGCTCGACAAAACGATCCCCAAACGCCTGTAAACGAGGCTAGCGTGCCCTTAGGGTTCTTGACTTTGCAGCTAAGGTAGCGTCACGCTCTGCTGACGTTTTACCGAGTAAGACAGGAAGCGTTTGAGAATTGTTTTGAGACGGTGGATGAACACGCTCACGACGCCACGACACTATAAAAGGGCTTGTCGGTCGATATACGATGACTAGTTACAAAGTTACCCAGTCACCTCCGTGTAGCGTCCTTGCTCCGTGGTACCAAGTATGATCGGGACTGATCGTTCTAAATTTACCGTAGTCGATATGATACACGGGACAACGTTTTCCATAACGTTATGTATAGTTATGTGCCAAAATCGGTAACACTGTCTACAAGGTGACGGAGTCCTGCCGTACGAAGAGTGACATGGCTTCAGGGAGGGGCGCGAGGGCGCCCGAGCACATGGCGACGCCACGTCGACAAACTTTCAAGGTAAACTCTCGTCTTACTTCTTGTAGAGACTAACCTGTTAGATAGGTGCGATTTTTGCTCCTGTGTGTTTTTGTTTTTAATCTAATTTTTGAGGGGGTGGTGAACTGGGACTGACTGTGTAACTCTTTCGGATATCTGTCTTGCTTGTTTCTTTGTTTGTTTGTTCGATTACAAACTATTCAAAATAGTTGTATATCTATTGCTTGCTAAGACATGCTGAAAAACAATTTCTGAAATTGCCCGACCCCTGCCCATGGATTCATGGAGTCATGGACGTTTTGACAGAACAAGCGTTTGGGGAATGTTGCTTTTATTATATAATTACTATCATCGTTATTATCATTATTTACTGTGGAATGACCATTAGAGGGCCAAGACTATATACTCTGGAGAAAACCTTGAGAAAGCTACCGGACAACACTATGTTCATGAGAACAGCTTTACTGCGAATATCGAGTTACCTTGTATTTAAACTTTGAAATCTAAGGCCTTGTTTAAGTGAATGACACACATTTTTGAAGAAGAGACTCGAGTTTCTGTGAAGTTTCCGTGCCAGTTGAACGTTCCGACAAAGTCAGTGTTAACCAAATTACTTCGTGGACTTAATTTGAAATCAACCAATCAAAGTCGACGTAACAGGAGCTGTCGACAACTTGCGTCATGTCCTGTCCTTCCAGCTAAATCCGTCTGTCCTAGTTAGAAGTTCCACGAAACGCAATGGCCTCTTTAGTCACTGCCTTTCACAACGGTCACGTTTGTACTATAAAAAAAGGGCCAGCCAGCTTTCTCGGGCTACAACTCCCCCTCGGCGCGACTTAAGATTGGCGGTGTATTGTCCTAAGCTTAGGCCACCCAAGGGAACTGGCTTAAGGCCCAATACATCGATATTGTAGCCTCTACCAGGCTTCGGGAGGCGGCTGGAAATTGGCCAAATAGAGATATAACATGCCGGGGGAGTTGGTCCGGTAGAAAAATGCCGCAAACTGTAATTTCTACTCTTTCCAGCCTAATGTCCAATGTTCTACTAGCCTCAACTACTTTCAGAGAAAGAGGCCTAATACCTGTACATAGTCTGGCTCCCAGAGTACATTTTTCGTTAGCCGCTTTTTTTTGAAGCGGTAAAATTTTCAAGCAGACTGTGACGGAACCAACAACCGACAAAGATGTAAAATAGCCTTTGCTGTAAAAGAGAGAGAGGGGGGGGAGGAGAGACAGAGAGAGACAGAGACAGAGAGGGAGAGACAGAGAGAGACAGAGAGAGACAGAGAGAGACAGAGAGAGAGACAGAGAGAGACAGGGAGAGAGAGAGAGAAATTTGAACATCACATGCATGAGTGGTCCAAGAATGCCCGAATGCTCAGGTTAACCGTGCGACGATAGAACGACAGATGTGACTTTTAAGCTCTCAGTAACGACTTCAGAACACCAGCTTAGCTGTCGTGGGTGCATCTGCCAAACCTAAAGGCACCATTTCGTAAATCACGGCTTGTTTTTTCTGGGTGACAAGTTTTTTTTTTGTTCCCATGTTGTTGACATTGACTGGTCCACTTCATACTGACTGACTCAGTGTAAGAACTTTGAACCAACTCCTCCGACCCGTGCGGCATTTGGCAGTGAAAAGGTAAACGCACCTTGACGGCCGTGGCTTTGATGATGCATATTTTTACGGATGAAGTGACAGTAAACAGACCATGCGGAATTTTCAGAAGAATCAGTGCCCACACACAGAGTTATCTAAATAAAGTATAGTGTGACAGCAGTACAACTGTATTTTGGTTTAATTTGGTATGATTTTGTTTGATTTGTTTTATTTGTTCGGCTGTATGAAGACAGAAAAGGCTATCATTCCTAGACGCGACTGAAAAATGTACAGCATACAAATTGTGCGGACGTTTACAAAGTACATGTACAAGACTTAGGTGCTATATATATATCACCTTGCTAATATATATCACCGTAGGTTAATACACAGTAAGCAGTCATTTAGTATACAAACTCGATCTGGCTTTCTATCCTAACAAGCGCAGTATATAATGAATGAATGAAGAAGACCTTTATTGTACACACATACCCACTGGGTTAAGTACAGGTCACAACAAAAGGATGGAATACAGATAACATTATATACATCGTTAAGTAGCTACAATTAGGTAAATTCGGTTTCTTCTCGTTTCATATCTAGATCTGTGACATGAGACTACGTGTGTCCGATCGGGACTTAGGAGGAACAGTCGGTAAAACATGGCGGCCTACTGGCCTCCAAAGTCCCGGTTGGCATCCGTAAATTTTCCTCGGTAAATTGACGTGAATCATGTACACCCCCGTTAAACTACATCTCCGGCCCTGCCGCTACATCTCCGGCCCTGCCGCTACACCTCCGGCCCTGCCGCTACACCTCCGGCCCTGCCGCTACATCTCCGGCCCTGCCGCTACATCTCCGGCCCTGCCGCTACATCTCCGGCCCTGCCGCTACACCTCCGGCCCTGCCGCTACACCTCCGGCCCTGCCGCTACATCTCCGGCCCTAGGGCACCTATGCCCTACCGTTACGCCACGACATGTTTAACATTGGACATCACCAATGCTCAATAAGGACTTAAGGGGACAGTCGGTGTCCGTCAGTTTCCCACTGGCCCCTTAAAGCCAAGATTGACGTTCGTGAATCATCTTCATCAATCATCTCGTCTTGTTACAACTTACTCTGCGTGTTTAGTCATTTGTTATTTATGACCACGTAGATTTCATAATGAAGGAAACTTTTTTGACAATTTTTCTTTACGTATTCGCACGCTCGCGCCAGTTTTGGGGTTCCCAGAGAATGCAATCCATATAATCAAATCAGCATGGCCTTATATTGTTACAACACTGTGGAATCATCTGTGAAGTCACGTCCATTATTCTAATGAGTTTTCTTCAAATTAGTCCTTCTTTCCTTTGTTTAAAATGAATGACACGTGTCTATGGTATTTGTGGCCCTTTGCAAGAGTAACACCCAGCGTTTTGGGGAATATAAGAAAGACAACCTGATTCCCAGATAGATACAAAAATGAAGCAAGAAAATCTATCACGATTGATAACTATTTGTTTTCGTACACACATTCTCTGGCAAGTCTCATTGTGCACTTGTTCGTGCAGGATCAATAATTCAATAATAGCAAAATTGCTCATCAATTATTCAAAAGGGCGTGTTTCGTTTATACCATACGTCCCTAGCCCATGACGTAGCGAATTCCATCACTCTAGTATTAAGCGGTCGTGTTTATTTGGTATCTAATGCAGTTATATTTTCTGTGACTTTTGAAGAGGCCGTGAAGCAAAATGTCGTATGGCGAGACCAGAACCCAAGATGGTGGATACTCCCAACCACAGTCTGGAGGTGACTTCTCTACTGCGTTCCCGCCTCAGCCAAATGCTGAAGCTGCCAACCGTAGTAACTGCGGGGGAAACGTTTACCCTGCAAATGTGCCTTACCACCAACCGATGAAGGGGGTCCAGTCGAACGGAGGGCACCCGGGACAAGCTCACCCCCTGGCACCGGCCTACCCTCCCATCTCTCACCAGCCTGTGCCTACTAACAAAGGTTTTTATAATTCTTTTGTAAAATATCGATCTGTACTTCTGTATTCTTTTTACCATTGTTTAGCACGAGAAGTATGTGACCTCAGGAGGAGGTTTGATGGTAGAGAAAATTGAGCATCTTTATTTTGGTGTCGTTCTTTTCTGCATATTTCCGTCATATTTCTGTACCGTTCTTTTCGTTATACTTCTTTTTATCGTATTTTTCCTAACAATGCAGTGTTTAAAAGACTCACTCTCGCAATGAAAATTGAGTTTTTTTATTTATTTTTCTTTCTGTGCTGTTATTTTTCTTATGTTTCACTTTTTACTTCCAAGGGCATTGGATTCTTAATTAAGGAGCGTTTTCTTTAGCCATTTCGTCTGTTTTACTGAGCGTATGTTGGAAAGATACTCGTATCTACCTGTAGTACGTCATTACAAAACAACAATGTGGGATGCAGGTATAGATATGGCCATCCTGGTTACCTGTTTGTAACTCAGCCATTGTAATTAGCCGTGGTGACTCTTGAATCGGGCTATATACATTGCCCTAGGTCTCATTCTGAAGCCGATCACCAATCTATTCGGCTAGATCCAGACAATGAAAGAATGTTTGTTGCAAATACATGCCGGAGGGCTAATTGCAGGTACAAACAACAAATATGAAAAAAAGGAAAATACAATGGTATGAGAGACTACGTCTAACATTATACTACATTCTTCAATATATATGGTACTAGTTTTACCCTAGTGGGAAAAGGGTCTATGTTTTGGTTTCTATAAGTATAAGAAATTGAGTATCTTTCTTCTCAGGTGTGATGGTTCATGGTGCGCATCCAGCCAATCAGAATGCTCGACACGTGCACGGCCCAAGGCAGCGGACCAATGACTCCAGCCCTTACATCTGCTGCTGTGTGATGTGCGCTTTTCCGACCTGCGACTGCGACTGTGACTGTTGCGACGGCTGTGACTGCGACCTCATGTAAAAGTCTTAGTGCTGTTTAGTCTCACTCACCTTCTCACCCCATTGCCTGTAGATCATACTGGTCTGTCAGTTGAGAGTCCCAATCAGACTTCTCCCCGCACAGCTTGTCGGCTTCTTCAAAGGAAATGTTTGTTCTTTTGGCCAGGATATTCTTCAGACCATCAGTCCATCTCATCCTGGGTCTACCAAGGGGTCTTATTCCAGGAGGTTTCCACTCCAGAATACGTTTCACGCCCCTCGTGGCTGCCATTCTTTTCACATGACCAAACCACCTTCATTGGCTTTTTTCCAGAGTGCTGTTTAGTATGACAGTGAAATAAAACAAAGAAAACAGTTGAACCGGACTTAAGGCCACATTAGATGTTGGCTTAACGCTGCAGTCTGTAGGATTATGTATGGATATGGTAGCACATGAGAGAACTTGTGAAAAAGGGGGTAACTATAATGCATTGTCTGTTGTCTGTTGTCCGATGTAAGTTATCATTAATCCTATCGAGTGTACATTGTGGATACATGAGGGGGTTCTGGATTTAGAAATACCGAACCAGCTGCCATTTGTATGTATTCCGAAGACCCAAAATATTCAGATGCGTGTTCACAAAAAATCTTAGTGCCATTTAAATGAACTTGACATCAGTATCTTTTGAAGATGGATTCGATGTGTGTATTTTTCTAATTCCGATTGGTTCTTGAAATGACAATAACACAACGACAACTGTCTAACAACTAAAACTTTACTTATCATCATGATTAATAATGATAATAATAACCTTTATTGTACATTCAAGCCCTATCGGGCTAAGTACAGGTGAACAGATGAAATGGGAAATATACATGTTTGTAGTACAGACAGCTCTAAGGCTACTCTAATACAGATGTTCGGCTTCTTCCCGTTTCTTTGTGATGTTAAAAATATAATTTGAAATGGGTTTGTATAATACAGGATGATCAAAGCGCATAAGAAAGATAAATTTTTCAATACTAGGCAAGTATTGGAAGTATGGAAATGTACTTGTAATATATCTAAATAGATCATTTCTTTCATTACTATATAAACTACAATGAATAAAAAAGTGGGCTTCGTCTTCTACTTTAATACATGTCAGAGTAACTTGACGGTGACCATCACAACTGTCAGCCGTTAGAAGAATATCCACCACTTTGCTTGCAAACAGCTGGCTGTATTAATTTGCTAGTAAAATAATTTTGCTAAATGTTAGCATCTAATTCATACGGTTTTCAAGGTAGCTAGCGTATAGTAACAGCAAAGTTATGTAAAAAAAGACGCTTGATGAATCGATTAAACCTGCGAGCTTTGTTTAAAACTGCAAGTAGTTGGTCTCTTTTCTTTGAATTCTTTAGTATGTGTGTGTGTGTGTGCATGTGTGCGTCACGGTGTGTGTGTGTGTGTGTTAAACTCCATGGTGTGTGCGTGTGTGTGTGTGTGTGTGTGTGTGCGCGCGCGCGCGCGCGCGTGTGTGTGTGTGTGTATATATTAAAGCTACCTTCATGCCCCAAATATTTCAAACACCCCCTACCGGAACACTTGGATCAGTCCTGTTGGCGTCAAATAGTCAGCAGAGGACCATTCCATTATCTAGAGGGGATGCAAATTAAACTCGCTCAGTTGGATAAAGGTCATTTTTAAAGAAAAAAACTATTTCAAAATATAAAGTCTTTCCTACAATCACCACCCCGAAAACTGCCGAGAATTCCACCCCAAAAATGCCGAGAATTCATTAAAAAAATTGACACAAGAAAGCCTATTGTAGGATGAATGTTTTAAGCCCTTAAAAGGTGCGCCAACTGTTGCAGCTCCGTTCTATTGTCCATGGCTAGCCATTCGTAAAGACCTAATGGTGACCTTTAGCATTCAACACAGGAACTGGCTCATTCCCTTGCCAACCTGCCCCACTGTATGTCTACAGTATCTGTTCAGAAAAATGCTTCTTACGTTTTAAAGATCTTCTGTACACTCGTTTGGGATTTCCTTCAGGCTGGCACTCAGTGAAATAGTACTTTATTTAAACCAGCGACGTGGTAGTAGTCGTCGGACGTACGACAAATCATGGCTTTTTGAGTAAACTATAACGTCACCCCCCTCCCACGACGAAAGTGTAAACAAAGTTAACAGGTTGCCAAAGAGCCGAAGGAATTCCTGTTCCTGTTGACCGACACGTCTCTTGTTAGTCTACCTGAGTGTCGTGTTGGTAAGTATACTAACCGGGCTTTCTGTTTTTCTATCATTGATACGGCGTATGTACAGTGTGAAATTCCTTTCTGGGTGACATGACAGTACACTTTAGCCTCTACCAGGTACCGTGTATCGCTGAAAAAATAGTAGAAATTTGCCGAAATAAAGGGCGATCTGTAAAGCCGTAACAGAGTTGGGGGGCTGGTCACCATATAATATGAGTTTCTTCGACTAGGCCATGTGTTGAGGTTGACATTATGTATTTGCTTTGCAAATGCTACCTTTCTAGTTTTAATTTTTTTAAAGTGTTGCCCCCTTCTTCTCAAACCTATGACGAACGGTGATATTATCGTCACGCAAAAACATCCGATAACTTAGGTGCAAGGAACAATATAATGAACTTTACTGCATATTCACGCCCTACATAGGCTACATCAACAAGGTAAGATATCTAAGGTATAATGATAGACCACAACAAGAAGAATTACTGCATTTAATATCTACAAGGTCTCTTCTCTCTTTTTTGAAACATGCATAATAAATTTACATAGTTTTTCAATGTATGTGGCCGGAATAAGGATGTTCTTTCCCAGCAGCAAATGCACAGCAGTATGGTACCCGAGCCGCCTCCACCGTACCACGAGGCTGTCAACTCCGAGGGGCAACCCCCGAGTCCAAATGGAGTCGGTTTTGGACAGGTTCCATACCCTGTCAATCCTCCTCCTGTCACCACCCAACCTGTCGTCACTCCTTACGGTATTAGTTTTCTTGGGTATATCTTTGTTTTCCCAAGGCATTCTACAGCTCCTTGGTTTTCCTTAATAAATTCCTATAACCTCCTTGTTCCTACTTACTTCAAGTGTAGACAGCCTTCTATCAGTTTTTTTTTCCGTCACTTCGTCTGGTTTTCTCTTCTTGCGTCATCTGTAGATATTCGGTAGCTAAATATATCGGTATATCCAAAACGATGGTATCCAAAGTAGATTGAGCGTTAATAAACCGCAAATGCAATTATTGACACCAACGTGGCGTCGCACACGGTGATAACATCGTGAGAAAACGCCCAGTGTATTAAAGAGAAAATGTCAATCCATCTTGTAATTATGGCATATTTCGCCAGGTGTCGTCGTAGAGGAGAGTGCGGCGCCCCCTGTAGCCGTAGTAGGTACTGCAGCCGCGCCTCCACATGATGGTAAAAGGAAACGACACAGGCATGACCGCACAAGTGACTGGTGTGCCTGGTGCTACTGTGGTCCCGGATGTCACTGCGGGGATTGCGACTGTGGCGATTGTGACTGTGGCGATTGTGACTGTGGCAATTGCGATTGTGACTGCGATTTCTAAGTTCTAACTGTAGTTTCTGGTAGCCTCCATAGCATGCCATAGCGTGCTACTTTCTTTAGTAGCCGAGGCGTACTACTCATCATTTTAAAATTGGTAGGATTTTCCCTGCAGAGATCATCATACTAGTATGTAAATAATAATGTACCCGTATCCATGCAGTTTTTATTATCGTACCTCAGTAAGCCTATATAAGTCTATACATGTCTCGTACCTACCATATGGAAGATGTAACTTTTAATTGAATGATACTTGGAATAAAATTTAACTTGAAAAAAATTCATATCAGTTTGTAGCTGATATTGTGTCATGCTGTGTGCCCCAATCGTCTTGTGGACATTAACAACGTGTCTATTAATTTGAGTTTATTTAAAACTTTTCAACTTTTGGTATACTGGCCGGGTTACATTGCAAGAATTGTTATTATATTCGTCATTATGATTACTGTTACCTGAATAAATTTATGATTATACATGTAGCTACCGTATCTGTATCATATTCTTGCTGTACGAATAGGAAGACCCTGTAATACGTTCAATGTAGCTGCTATAGCAGTTATGCTCGTCAGACCTGATATAACATTCACAATGAAAGTTTTATTGCAAATTCGTGCCCGAGGGCTAATTTCAAGTACAAAAGAAACATTTGGTATAAGAACAGGTAATTCATACACAGACTGTTAACTCTTTAAAACTACTGGGTCTGACTTCTTTTTTTGAAGACAGAGGAAGACAAAGGATCCCACTTTTTCTGTAATTTGTGGGTTTTCTGACATTAAGAACAAGAGCTATCTGCCATCCAGAATTCGTGACCCTAGCATGTCCAGATCACGAGATATCAAAACCGGAAGTTCTGCTGCAGTACCAAGGAAAGCCGCCAGGGGGCCCAAAATCTAATCATTTCTAGGTTTCATGAAGACCTACCTATCTATCAAGTTTCATTCCAATCCATCCACTGCTTCTTGAGTTATCTTGCTAAACCACACACACACAAACACACACACACACAAACACACAAACACAGAGACAAACGCTACTGAAAACATAACCTTCTTGGCGAAGGTAATGACAGGCCTAGGGACACAGTCAAGCCTGCTGTGGTCTGACTCTAGCCCTTGGTCACGGCCATACAGACATGTCCGCAGCCGTTAGAACAGCACTTCTGTCCCCCGGAACATTCGGCGTCACTGCTGCAAGCCTCCACGCAGATACCAAACATCCCGGTGGTGTCCGGACATTCACCAGCTGTGGACGATATCACAACAATAAACCATCTTCAGTTGCAGCATTCATTAGCTACGTCTAAATACTTCATATCATCGAACGTGTGCTACTCAACATAGAACATCTACAGCACAATATGGTTCGCTTGGTAACCTCCGGCTCCGGGAGTGGAACTGTCTCCAACCGGCAAAGTCATCCCTCCGCGGCGCATCGCGCGCTCCCCGAAAAAAATTAACGCCGCCGCTTCAGAAATTTGCGAAGGAGGCTTAGTAACCTCTGCTCCACCTTGGAGGGCTTCAAGTCTCAGTTATAACTTCCTATACCACCTCACCCCCACCTCCCTGCACAGTAACCTACAAATACTAGTATATGGTGACATAATCTTAATCAAGCTGAAGGTGGTCGCCACAACAGAACGAAGAAGAACCCTAGCCTCTACCGGGGTCCTGTGCAAAATGTACTCTCCAGCGAACCAACTCCCCTGGTTTTAATAAATGTCTGCAAATTCTTTCCAGCCGATCCCCTATACATGTATAGAGGCTATGGTAACCCAACTCAACTCTACAGATCTTACCAACAGTGTTGGGACAGCACACAGCCCAGCGGTCCGCAGGGTGAACCTGGCAGGAGTGAGTAGACGGGCAGTCCCGTCGTCCTACGCCCCGCCCACAGTTGATGGACAGGTATTGACCTCCATTCGGACAGTACGGGTCTGTGGGGTGGAAAAAAAGTTTTGCCTATCTTATTCTTTGTTTCAAAATTTAGATAGGACAGAAAAAATACTATAGTCCAGCGGCATAGCTTGCAAAATCAGCTGAATTGTGCACTTTTGTCTAAAATCACCAAATTTGGCACGCATGTAGTTGAACATATACTGCACAAATTTGGATATGGAGGCATTTTCATTATGGGCAAGGTAGACCGTGTATTATAAGTTCCATATATGTTTATACATCTACAACTGCCTTAAGAGGCGAGAAGGTGTTAAACTGTACATATATTGTAGTAGTCCAACCTATAGGGAGCAATAAACATATAGTAGTGTATATATATGTAACGTTATAGTGATATATTTCTGTTCCTAATTAGTATGATTATTTTGGGATTGTAGGTTTATGAGATTAATAGCGAATGATTTGTGTTTGATTTTTGTCATTTGATTTTATTTTTGATTGTATTATAATTATTCGACGCAGCCAAGTTACACTGTACAGGGTAACTCGACTCGTAATTGTAAGCTAACAAAGATAACTTAAAGATCAAAGATCCTTTGAAGCCACTCTAGCTCAATATATATAAGATTTTCTTTAAATAACTGTGTTAGCATTAGTATCATTAATATCTTGACTACGGCGCACTGATGTGTCAACTTTGTGTATTTTAATGTTAATTGTATTTTGTTGTGTGGCGCTGTTAAAATAAGCTATAAACTTGAGTGCAGCGCCTCAATGTCCTTGTTATGTTTTGATGAATTTAAAAAAAAGATAATTACGCCGCTTCTGATTTTGCTACAGATTGATTAAAACGAAGTCGTGATGTTTGCTCCTACCATCGCAGTTTACTTTATTGTCATTGCTGTCGTAGAAGAAAGCGTTGCAGCCTCCGCAGTAGTCAGCCTTGCACGTAGCGCTCGGGTATGGCGGACACGTGGCCAACACACATGGGTCTGTCAAACAGTTCACTTGGTTCACTCCGGGAGGACACGGGGTGGCTGTTTGGTACAGTAAAAATAAGTGTTGCATCGTATCAGGACAACCAGTAATCACTATCACTCTCTCACTCACTCACTAGTACTCACTCAGTCACTCACGAGTACTCACTCAACCACTCACTCACTAGTACTCACTTAGTCACTCACGAGTACTCACTCAACCACTCACTCACTAGTACTCACTTAGTCACTCACGAGTACTCACTCAACCACTCACTCACTAGTACTCACTTAGTCACTCACGAGTACTCACTCAACCACTCACTCACTAGTACTCACTCATTCATTCATTCACTCACTCACCCACTCACCAGTACTCACTCAACCACTCACTCAATCTTTCACTAACTCACGAGTATTCACTCACTCACTCACTAGTACTTACTCATTCATTCACTCACTCACTCACTCACTCACTCACTCACTCACTCACCAGTACTCAGTCACTCACGAGTATTCACTCACTCACTCATTCACTCACTCACTCACTCACTCATTCACTCACTCACTCACTCATTCACTCACTCACTCACTCACTCATTCATTCACTCACTCATTCACTCACTCATTCTCACCCGCTAAGTCCAATAGCCACATGCAGCTTGATTAAATAAAGATAATAATAAACGTTTTGATGGCACAGCAATTGGACAAAACTGTTGGTTTAAATGTGGGTTTAGTTGTACAGCATGGCGAGTTGTGCTGTAGTACTAAGGAAAGTCGCCAGGAGCTCGAAAATCTGGATACCTCTACAAAGGTTCAGAGTATGTATAGGCGATAGCTATAGACACCAAGGTTATGTCGGTGTGTTACGCAGAAGGGCTACGGATAATTGGTCATAATTACTATAGAAGATGACTCACACACAGGTAACAAAGAGCTCTTACGCACGTAACAGGCAGCCTGAAGGCGGGCCAGGCCTTGCCTGGTACATGCCAAATGGTACTTAGTGGGAGATCAAGGACTTACAACAAAGGCTTACCGGGGTTCATTGAACTGAAATGTTTGGGCACGAAATCAGCGCTCAAGAGAACCAAGGACAAACTGCAGAACTACTATAATTATAGGTTTCTCGTACTTTTCATTCCATTTCAAGCTTGAATGAAAAACATATATATGACAATGGTTAAATTTCAAGACATCAAGAATAACAAATGTGACAGGTGAACAAAATTTTAGAAGATATAGTACAACAAAAGAGCATTCTCTCCCAAAATACGCATTTATGAAGACGACATACGTGTTGCCAAGGAGGTTTAACCACGTATGCATGTAGGCATCAAAGTACTTACATGTAGCAAACTATGCACTCGGGCCTAAGGCCTTTGTGAAGAAAAACGTGTACATTACTGTAGGCAAATCAGATAATACATACACTTTTCTAGACACGTCACAGCAGCGTACACACACTTTTCAAAGCTCAAAAACTCTACCCAAGTTGCTATTCAACTCTAAAGACAGAATAAACCACGTAAATACCTACCGACTTGAATTTCCTTTTGAGCAGAAAAATATTTTGCCGTCCAATTTGTAACCAGGGTTTAGAGGATCGGATTAATTTCAGATTGAAACATTGTAAACGTTCAAACATTGAGATAATTGGATATTGAATCTTTATTGTGAATATGGATACATTAATTTCCATGGGAAAAGGCGTAGAAGCAACAGCGCACCCCTTTTCGAAGCACAAAATCATACGATGTAAGCAATTTCAATTGTACTGACCAGCAGAAGTAATATGTTCGTATGGGGAATTACATGTATCTCTTAGGTAGAGCTCAGTGATACAGCAACTTGACACTTACGACGCAGTCAAAATCTTTGCGCCACTTTCTTTGTTGTAGGATTGTTAAGCCCTGTCACACAGAACCAAGGAGGTTTTAGTCCTTGGTCACACAAAGGAGGCTTGTCCACTAGGTCAGCGATCATAAGGTTGAAAGTAGTTGACCCATGCAGTTTGGGCCACACCTATCTGATGTTCCAGGCCACCAAAACCTTTCTACGACCACTTCTTAAAATATTTCTGAAACATTTGCCTGGCACATGTACAGACGACTAGTAACCGACCTCGCACATCAACTGCCCACCACAGACGAACTTGCTCACGACTGCGACCCCCAACTCTTGTCTGGGGAAGGTTGGAAGTGGTTGAGGGCCATGGGCGCATGGCTAACTGACAGATTTTACATGTAGCTCTGGCAGAAACGCTAGAAGTTTCTTAACACTTCGTAACAGTAGACAACTAAATTTGCCACGACAAAAACTGAGACTAACCCAAGAATATCCTAAGTTTGCTACCGAACAACAGATGTAAAACGGGTGCCTCGCGAAACGTTGTTTACGTACAGTAGAATATTGACAAGACAAAGCCCTTATATCGTTAACTTAACGTAGCGTTGTTGAGCTTACGTGTCGGTGCCTGGGTTGGGGCCGGTTCAGTCAACCACGGGAAACAGCAGGAAGCCGCCCCGAGCACACACACGGTTACAGCGAGGAACAGGAGAGCCTTCATGTTGCACGTTCGGCAGATAGGTGGTTATCGTTGGTGACTGGCACTTCTTATATATGCACCGAGGTTGGTCAACAGGTTTACTACGTCACACCAGTGGACGAGTCCATTAAGTCAGAAAATAGGGACAATTGGGACGATTTTGGTTCAGTTTTATCAAGGAGTGAATTTTCTTTCTGGAAAGGATCTCGGACTAATGTTCTTGTATAGTCAAAGTTACGTATCCGTTTATTTCTTATTCATAAGTTGAAATGTCCTGTCAAATATTTTAATTTTTAATACAATTGTACAAGTGGCGGCGATAATACATGTATAAGCTGCCTACAACTTAAGCCCAGGACCACTTTGTCCATTAATTTTTAAAGATTTTTTCCTGAATGAAAAAAACAAAAACTCATTTCTTCTTCAGTAATCTTTGGCAACATCTGTATTATTCTGAATTGTGCAGAACAAAGAATTTCAAGCTAGCAACAAATTTCTGAATAACATTGAATCATAAAAAAGTAAAATGTTGTTATCAACCATGGAGTTCTTTGATATGATTTTTCAAAATAAGATTCTTCATATATTCCTTATGCAACACCAATATCCTAGCCAATATATCTTTGGCACTTATTAATAACAATGTGTATATTAGTTTACATTAATTTTTCCAAAATAACATTCCTCATATTCTTAATGCAACAATTATGTCCTGTTTAAATTCTGGCTGATATATCTTTGGCAATAATTATAGCCACTTTGCACACATGTACTAAGGAAAGCTTGAGATGCATAACGTAAAATTATACCCAAATTTCCGTCATCATTACTTCTGCTTATGACAGTTTTGTTTTTGGTATGTTGCTTTGTTTATTTGCTTGTGTGTCAGTAGTTATTTGAATAGAGCATAGCCATTGGAAGTTAAAAAGCTGGTGTGTTACGCCGAAAGGCGGTTATACCGGCTATACAGATACAGATACAGATACAGAAGTGAGGGGGAATGGTGTAACCGCAGACTGAGGAGCTTGAAAGGAGGCCAAAATGGTCTTGCTGTAGGATGGATGTGATAGTGAAATATGCACGAAATCAGCAAAGAAATTCGCAAAGACAGATAAAGCAAGATATTAATCATTATCAAATAACATCAACATTTGATTTTTTTTAAAATGTTTTCCATGCACCCAAACAAGAAAGAGGAGAGGAGAAAGAAAGGGAGAGAGATAGTGATTGCAGAGAAAATCAGACAGCATGTTCTTACCCAATGGTAGTACATAAGGGTGGGTGGACAGAGTTCTGGCCAAGTCTTAACAATGCATTAAAGCGTGTGCAATCTACATGCGATCAGAAAACTTGCCCTCCCTCCCCCCAAAAACACTTATCGTGTGCCAAGAACGTCTGCAAAGGAGGCAAATACTTGTTCTAATGGTTGACAGTAAAGTGGCGGGAGCTCCCGACAAAGGGGGTGATCTCTCCCACCAGGTTCTTGGAATGTCCAAAATGGCGGATGCGGTAGGTACCGGGCGGGGTGCCGGGGGAGATGGTCCATGTGATCGTGGCCTCGCTATGCCCCACCAGAACGTTGGTGCGCTTCCACTTGTACCTGAAGTTGGAGATAAAAATTATACAACTGTGACTGATATATAGAAAAGACTGATATATACATGTAGATACAGCTGACATATTACCCTGGAATCCAAACTCGCTGTCCGGGCCGCAAAAGCCCTTCGCCCGCTGGTGTAAATTACCGCTACGGGGGAGTCTAGCCCGGGGGGAGTTTGGCTGGCCAGCCACGGCCCGATACTAGTTTGGCATCCAGGGTACTGACATATAGATACAATATAACTCAGCACAAAACGTTCGGAACTAGGGCTGCGGACCGGTACACTGTACCGGTCCAATACCGTAAAAATCGTTTCGGTACAGGTCCAAAATACCGGATCATGAAGTAACGAGTATATACCGAAATAGCTAGTTTACACCATGTATATGACTAAAGATAGGTAAATCCTACCACAAAGACGACAAATTAGCACTGGAAAAGACGTAAACACCGTCGATTGATTTGAGATCCTCAGTCTCACGAGACATCGCGAGAGTGTGGCTGATCCAGGGTTGTGATTGGTCAACAAACTCAAATCAGGTCAAAGGTCAGTCATTTTCCCTTCCCTCCAACACTTTATTATTGTTTCTGTGTCATGATTGAAAAAGTGAAGAACACGTGTTAATTTGTCAAATTGTTCAGGTACAGGTACAGGTCCGGACCTGTACCTAAACCTCTGTACCAGTACCTGTACCTGTACCTGATGTTGCGTTTAGGTACGCAGCCCTATTCGGAACCTTAAATCTCCAATATTATTGTATGGTACTATATATCAATAATTGAATTTAGAAAGCTTTACAATTTTTGTAACATACTTGTCATGTACATGTAACATACTTGTCATGACCCTTTAAAATTTTTGTACCATACTTGTCATGATCCTACATCAAATGTTGAACACCAGAGCAGTCTATTCAAGTATGTCACAAAAGTGCCTGTGTAATGCAAGTTACCGCCTTTAAACTCTGACTTTAAGTCTAGCTTGTTTCGAATTCCATGACCCATTTGCATAGTAATTTGGAAAATCAACATTTATTCACTAGATGCAAATATCATAAATCACATAATTTTTTTCTATACATTTATGATTATAAAATACAGTAGTTCTTACATTGTATCCCATGATGCATCATTGTGTACCACCTCAAATGTCCCATCATCCTTCTTTCTCTCCACAGTCAAGAAGGATCCATCCAACTGATGAAGATTGGAAAAAAAATATCAAGTTGATCATCTGCTACTTCTACTGCACTGAATACATGTACTCAAGGAAAAATTACTGGTATAAAAGAAGTTTAAATAAACATCCAGTACTGAAGAATCAGTTGTCATCAGCAGTAAAGAGTCTGTGAGAGCCTCTGTTTTACAGTAATCAAAGTTACAGGTAATTAGTAAATGTCAGACCATTATTTTCATAGCAAAACCATTGACTAATTCATACGTCAAGATAGAGATTGCAATCTGGAAGAATAGTGATCATCCCTTGCCAAGTCAGAGTGTTAAAATGGCTAAGAGTCAATCTATGAATTCAAGTGACAGAAATCAAAGTTACAGTTACAGAAAACAAATTACAGTTATGGGAATATCTTTGAATTTACAAACTGTGATTAGGATCTCTACCACAGAATCTGCAAATTCTGCCAGATTGAAATATCTATTCATCTATATGAGAGCTGCACCTAAATTCTCCTGGTTGTTATAATATTCATCTGATTATATAATGCTTGCACTCATCCCAGAACTGGTGTTATAAATTAGCTGAATCAAGGAGGTTAAAAAACTCCTTGGCTGAATCAATGGTGTGCCTTCGTGCTAGGAAATGAAGTGAAAGAATGGTGCTGATAAGCATGCTTGATGACAGCTAGGTAACAGCAATAATTAGTCAGAGTTAGTCAGGAGAAAGTTGTGATGTTAGTAGTGACAGTCTGTACAAGAAGTCACCTCTGCCTCTTCATCTGGGCCTGACAGAAACTTCTGGAGCTTTTTGTGGGCCCAGGAGAAAAAGTGGAAAATTCCCCGCCGCCGCCTCACAGTCTTCTGCATGTTCTCTGGTTGGGTCTGGATGCATGGATGGAAACTTGGTTACACAGACTCAACTGTGTGAGGTACATGTAGGGCTCTGTATCCCCTAGATTATACACGCATGTTGTGCTTTCCATTCTTTGAGGAATGCCATTCAATGCTGGTTGCGAGAGGCCCAGACCAGGTCATCAGAGGAAAACCAGGAATGACTGTAACGATCAGTCATAAACACACTCTGACGTGCATGATGTAGTTACACCACATCAATTTTATTTGTTGGTCATTGCATTCCTTTCAGGATATCATTGAAGTAAAAAGAAACAGGTCTATATGTAGGCATGATAGCTTGTGTATTTGAATGGGTGAAAAATTAGAAGTAACCAACCTGCAGGTTGTTTCTTGGGTGGGCACTGTGGAATCGAACAGACACAGTCTCATTCTGAAAGGTAAACATCACAGAAATTAACACAGATTGAATGACAGATTGAGAACAAAAAATTACATCCGTGAAATATTTGAGTTTTTGAAACTTTGAAACTTTTATTGTCATACCACTTTTCAGACTTTTTCAGTGTGACTCTTTTGGCTTTTGTCAACTTCCAGAGTAATAAATTTTTTAATATACATGTAATTGTAAGTTTTACTTGCCCCTACAGCTAGTTGTTTCAATGGGGCTTGAGAAGCCAACACACCAACCGCTCGGCTAAAAGGTCCAGACCTGTTAGTCAGGCCAGCTAGAGGCGCATAACCCCTAGGCCTACTGTTACATATAGCACACATCATATGTACTAGATAAGCAATCATAATTGTTGTAAATAACATACAGTGTGGTAGGCGGAACCGGCATCAGTAATCACTTCTCCAAAGTGTGTGAAGAGGGGTGTAGTGTCCAACACCACCGGAGGGAGGAAGGACAGCTGACGGGACAGCAGGTTGGGAGGAGAAGGACCAATGTCAATATCCGCTCCCTGAAACAGATTAAACATTTGGCTTTACACGGCTGTTCCAGAACCACAAAATGCAAGTATTTACCAGTAGTTCATGCTATGTCAAGGCAAAAGTCATATTTGTTGGAATTAAATGTATGTGACCCACACTTCTATGAAAAACCTACAAGCATAAACGTAAGGTAGCAACAGAAACGAACAAAAAGTTTGTTGGAAGCAGCATACAAAGTATTTTTCCATCTAAGGAAAATATTTGAAATAGCTAAATCAATGTAAATAGGACCATAATTACATGTATAACGATATGTCCTTTGCAATTATAGTTACTTTGCAGATTTGTCAGTTTGTCACAAAATCGTATTTATGCAAGACTTAGTGATTCTAAATGCAATGTTTACCAACAATAATATAGCTGCAATTTTGGTTCTATAAACTAACTGACCATTATGGCACAGCCTTGTTACAGAAAGAGTTCATCAGTTGGCAATAATAAAGTCTGAAAACTTATAGTACCATAACCATGTCCTGAGCCAGCTGTGAGTAGAGCTGTTGATATGCTGCCAGGGTGTGGGGACCATAGATGGTAGAGGCACCCTCATATCTCTGCACCTGTACAGACACAACACAACACACAAACACTGATGTAAAAGGCATTTAAACATTGAAGTCAATAAGTTCAAATAAATCTAACATGGACATAACAAGTCGGTATTACACCTATCACCTGATTTCCATATACCAGCAAAAGCCACAAAGTTGATCAATGTAACTTTAAACTTATAATTCTATGTTTTATGATGTTATCAATTTTTGCTATAAAATTATCATACTGCACCTGGCAAAGACTTGTCCTGTCCATTAAAAGAAGCATGTAGAGAGTAAAAACTGAATTTTTGATATGAAAACATACATGCTGCTTAACTAATGCATATAACTACATGTAATGAAGATGTTTAAGTGACAGTGCAGCAAAAAAAATATGATTCAAGTGTCACAAGTCTTACTTTTAAGAAATCATTAAGACTGAATAAGAGTTACAAGAAAAAATGATACTTGGGTTTTGAGATCAGGACGCTGCAGTACCTGGTACTCCTCATAGGTGGTGATGTAGTCCGAGTAGGTGTTGGATAGTCCTGCCACCACCACCTCAGTGTCCTCTGGTAAACCCTTGCTCACCACAGCCTGGGAAGCGATTACATTACATTCATTTTATAAAGTTGTGCAAAGTCAAAATTATCTACACATATTTGTTAATTCTAGACATGATAAAGATGTGTAAATAATGTTGACTTTGCACAAATTTTCCATTGTTTTGGAAATTACAGGGTTTAGATTTGGTAGCTTAGATACTACTTCAGGGTTTAGATTTGGTAACAATGTTTAAATAGCACACTCATACATGTACTTCAACAGTAACATGGCATACATGTACATGTATGTACTGCTGCCATCTAGTAACCATTGCAAGGAGCTACATTTTATGAACTGCATTAGGTCTCTTCTTCTTCTCGGGTCACCATTCACTGCTACATTCTTTCCCTCTAATACTCCGCGCATGCCCTTCCACTTCCAGGTCCTCCTTGGTGCATTAGGGCTGAGAGTAGGTTTTAAGTACAATTTGAATGACCCACCCTCTGAATGGAGTCCCTTAGACGTCTCCCAGACATGGTACTGTGTGGCAGGAAAGTAAAAAAGAAAATAAAAATAAAGGTTACTTAATAAGTTAATTCCATACACTGCATTTTATAATAATTATACTGATTATTCTCAGTATTTCTACAAAAAAAAACAGTATTCTTCTTACATCATCATCAGAAACACAGGTTAAAATCTTAAGAACCATTAAGGATAATTAAGAAACGACAAACCTGAACTCGCCAGGCACAGCGGCCACCACCAGCTGACCCCACCTCAACAGCTGGATATCAACAATGTCAGGCTGCCAGGCGTAGGGGAACGTCATCTGGGGACAAACATCATATAACCATCAACCATGTATAAAGTTAAAACTTTAGATCCAACACAAAAGAGTTCTCTCACCTAGAGCTTTCGACCAGTCACTCTGGTCTTCCTCACCAGACTGACCCAGTGAGGCTTGTCACTTGGCCTCTTTGAAGTGTGACATCAACATTGGGTCAAAGGTATCTGAATCAGATGTTAACCAATATATTAACCATAATATTACTGTACAACAGTTAAACTAACTAACTCTACTCTACATTTTAATTACAGTCAGGTCTTCTACTTTTCTTTAATTTGGTAAGACCTACCTCCCCCGTGGGCAGTAGAATAGGCTTGGGTGCCTGACAGGCCACCTCTTCAGCTGAGGGTTGTTTGATGATGTTCCTGACAAAGTTCCAAAATGGATTGCCTTCTGTGTCACCTAGTAACACAACAGAGGGAGCGTTACACTGAAGGGCGGTTACACCAGCTATACTGATAAAGATACAGATGACATGTCTCAATGGTTCAGTGGAAACATTGGCCATATAGATAACATACATGTATAGATCTACAAGCCGTCTGTTTTTGTTAGGGATATGTACATTGTACCTTGAGTGAAGTCAAAATATAGATAACATACATGTATACAAGCCTTCTTTTTCTTTAGGGATATGTACCTTGAGTGAAGTCAAAAGCACCAGGTCCATCAGTAGTTCCCGCTGCAAAACTGTACCCCATGGCTGGTTTACAAGTCTTTGCCTACATGTATGTACAGAAAACAATGGTCAGAATCTGATGTTAACATGTCACACAAATTTGGAGGAATTAGGCCATTTTGATTAGCACTTATGGTAAGAAGTATAAAATGTAAATTTTTTGTCACAATTCTGTTTTGTGCCAAGGAAACTAAAAGGGGTGTATAGTTTGTGCTGCCATACAAACATGTACATTTGTACAATGTGGCATAAAGCAAGCATACACATATGAGTTTTGAGTTCTCTGGATATAGAGGAAACCCTACAAAGTTAAAAATAAATCTTGAGTTCTCTGGATATAGAGGAAACCCTACAAGGTTAAAAATATACCTTGACCTATATTTCACACCCATTCATAGTCACATCATGTACATATATTGAGCAGTTTTGAAACTACATTGTATAGTGTAGGATTTGGAGTCTGTTCTTAGTGTCTGTGTCTGTGAAAACCCCATGCACATCCTTACGGAGTAGGAACTGTTGATCTGCACTGTGACATCACTCATGTCCACAAACTGCAGGGCAAACTGTACCGGTCCTGACAACTTCTCCTGGGCGTCTGCATTGTACAGCTCCTGCAAGGGACAACCACACACTTATGAGAGCCATGCTACTAGACTGGTGACTCACGCTGATATTAGGGTATAGTGCCTTAAGGCCTATTACACATGGCCTACCGACATTCTCCAGACCATGGTTGGGAGCTACAATGATTATCGTAAACAAGGTCATCTGTGGTTGGGATTTGGCGGGTAAGGTAATCTACTATTCAGTGTTTAAAATTTGTCAACAACATTTAATGTTAAATTATACATTACGCACTGCAGTATCTCTGAGCCTTTAAAGTACATTTACCTTTGCCTTGCTGTACTGCTTGTGGCCAATGATACGTGTGCTGTCAAACATGTCCACCCCTGGACCTGGTGACACGCACAGCTCCGACTGAAACACACAGGACAATGAGACACAACAAAACTGACCATTGGGGATTTGAATGAAAAACAATAATCTTTTTTGGGCTGTAATAAACTAGGTAGACAATGGATGTGATATTCAAACAGTCAGAGGATCTACAAATGCTTGAGCAATGATTAAAGTGCAGCTGTCTTCATCATCTCCATTTCATCTACATTTCTGGTTTCCTAGTTATCCTATAGGCTGGTATATCCTACAGCTACTGGCTACTGGCTATGGGACTGAATGAGTGTTTACCCAAACGACATACCTTCCCATTACAAGTGCTTGTCTCCAGATCACAGGCCAGCCCTGTGTCCTGACAGTGGGGACCTCGTGTGTTAGGGGACACATCTCCTTCATTACTCTGAGCAAAGGCTGCTACAAAGGAACCCTGCAAAAACAAAACAATAATATCATTGTAAAATATTTGTCATCCAAAACGATATATATAAAAAGGGTAGGTGTGACAGGTAATACATGTATAACCATCTGTTGTTGCAGAGCAAACAAAGACAGTGACTTACACTGAAGGGCAGTTAAACCAGAATTTGATACAGGTACAAAATCTACAAACTGGCTGTAAAACAGAAGGCATATTACAAACAAATTCAACTGTCACCTGTCCAGCGAGGGACCCTGGGTTCATGTCAGCTTCAAACAGCTGCGAGGCATAGCCCTTGTTGTCTCCACTGATCAAACCATTGGTGTTGTTCATACTGGTACAGTGGACGGCAAACCAACTACAAAGACACAACAACATCACTGTTTTGATCTCTGTAAATTGTGTGTTGGAATAAAGTTTAACGTTTTACTATGATTACTACCAACACAGATGAACTTTCATGATAAACATCACTGTTAATACAGTCACTCTCACTCACTCACTCACTCACTCACTCACTCACTCACTCACTCACTCACTCAATCACTCACTCACTCACTCACTCACTCACTCACTCACTCACTCAGTCACTCACTCACTCACTCACTCACTCACTCACTCACTCACACCATTTGCCTCTATCCTGTAGGTTGACGCTATGTACAAACTGTAAGTTAAGGTGGTGGAAGTCCTCCCTTACATTGTCAATCCATCTCTTTCTTGGTCGACCTGTTGGGTTTTGGCCTTCCATGTCCTGTGTGATGATCTTACTTACTAACTTACAAAGTACATGTCATACAAAATGAACTTACGACCAATATCTTTAATGACATTGCCATTAAACAATGGCAGTGTTTAGTGTAATATGACACATGATTGTCCAACTTACATGTATATGTTAATCAAGGTCCTACCTGATCATACCCAGGCCTGTTCCATGTTGGTCTACAAACTTCAGCACAACCATGTTTTTGTCAGTATTGGCATCATATCTACAGCAGCAAAACAAAAAACACATAAGAAAATTGAATTAAAAATTGCGGTATAAAAGGCTACAACCTACCCATACCTAAAATTACATTCTTTATATTAAGAATGAACAGGATTTACTGCTAGTTATAGAGAAAATCAAACATGCAGAATGAAACTAGCTGCACACTGCTTGAGACATCCTAACATAATGGCACCCAAGCTTGTCCACAAAAGGCCAAAGAAGTTGAGGGAGACCTGAGATAACTTCATTGACATCCTCAGATCAGACACCAGCTTGACAGAAGTAAAGAAAATCCAGTCTCTTGAAAGTTTCCTCTTACACAGCAGTTACATAAGCACTAATTAGCAAAATGAGAAAAAGCATGATAAAATCCATTGTTTTCTGACTTTGCTCTCTCAGATTCAGGATTGTTGAGGTAGGCTGTCGGGCTGCGGTTGATGTTGGCATCCTGCAGTTCCCCTTGATTCAGATAGAGGTCACCCGGCACAACGTTGTTATGTGCTCTTTGGATGCTCTGCAAAACAGAAAATCTTTCAGACAGATGGCAAGGAAGAATGAAAGGTTGTTTACTGCAATCACAGGACTCAAGTTATGGAGTGGACATAATTATAAGCTGTTCATACAATGCAATAAATGACAGACATTGAATCACTCCTACTGTGCTTTCCTTAACTTTCTCTGCAATCCATGGGCTTATTATATAATTATAATACCATTTCAATTCAATAGCTGGTCCATTTTAATTTAAATTGTCAATAAATCAATCATCATAAGAGACTCCAACTTCCAGCTGGCCAGATGAAATTCTGGGACCAAATTTCCAGTGTCTGACCTTTTCCAGTCTGTTATAAGAGAATCCCCACTACACTTGTGCAGTCACTCAACTGTACCATAATTATAGAAGTACACACACACACACACACACACACACACACACAGTACATGACCAAAACAATACCTCCATTACCATAAGTAACAATGTACCAATACTTACAGCGACTATTCCATCCACCAGGGCATTAAAACTCTCCCTGACAAACCCGAGGGACGTCACATCAAACAGCACATACTGCAGGAAGCCGGCCGGGCCAGAGTGAGTGTGGATGGCACTCAGGCAAACGTTGCTCTCATTGTACGCATTTCCAAACAGTGGCTTCAACTTCTTAACAACCTAGGAATGGAGCATAATATGCAGGTATGAACAGTTTCATTAGTCAGTTGTAAAATGTCTAAAACATATAGGGTATTCATGTGTTGCTCTAATACAAGAATGGTATCTGGGTTTAAGTATCAAATGTTGCTATAAGGTGAGAATAACATTTGGTAAAAAAAAAAACACATCAAGCAAATGGGTATGGTTTTGGTAATGGTAAGATGTTTTGCTACTTTTAGGTAGCACCCACTACGTTTTTTCAGTGACACTGCTGAGATCTCAAGATCAACAGAATAATGTTAGGTCTCATTATCTAATAGATTAACAAACTTTATAGATGCATTACCAGGTACCAGCTGTATCTAAATTATTTTACATGTGCAGATAATATTACATGTATTTCAGGTGCAGGAACAACCAAAGGCACTCTATTTTGAGTCCGGTAAAATGTAAAAAAAATTGTAAAAACCAGCCACAACTTAACAAAAATAAGAGGGGCCTGACACTACTTTAACTCACCTCTATCTTGAGGATCTGTGACACCATGGCACAGTCCACGCTGACAAAGACAGTACGAGTGGTGTTCTGTGGGTCTGACACGATGAACGCACGACTGAACTGCCGGAAGTGGATACCTGAACTCTGCTGAGCAGGGTTGGCATATCCCATCTAACATGGAGAGATTGGCAGATATCAGAGGTTGGGCACAGTTTCAAGTTTTCAAGTTTATTTATTTTACCTGGCATATCTCAGATCCATTGATCTATTTTTCAGGTATCCCAACCTTTGACTTTATTTGGATCCACATTTAGCTTCACAGCTATTCTTCCAGTGGTCTATTACATAATTCTTAGAACAATACAACAAAATGAAATAGCAACTGCCACACAATAACATTAAAACATGGTAACAACAAAGACCACCACATATACTTAGAAATACAAAAAAAAACTGTTTAACCTCACTCAAAAACTTAAAAGTATTTTTTGTACAATGGCTATTCATCTTCATCTTAGTTGAATGCTGGAAGTATAAAATTCCATTTTTATTGTATCTTATCACTATGTTATTACAGCATTTAAATTGATTATGCTAATGATTTTTTGCCTTGCAATGTTCCAATGTTTCTTTAGTTACATATCAACTACAATCAAATCAATAATGGTGTGACAGTACCCAGCTGTGTTGTTCTTTAACTTATCTCTTGAAGGCAAACTGTGTGAGAGACAGGAAGGTTTAACAGGTGTTCACCACACCCTCTACCTGTTATATCATCTTTTATATGCTGAACTCTAAGCAGATGTAGGGTGCTGCTCACTTAAATCTTAGTCCTAAAATTCATGTGGTGGCACACGGCATACTATGAGGCTCGCTCCTGAGGCTTCGCCAAAAAAAGCGACCCACTAGATTGAGTCTCATCCTACATCTGCTTGAAGAAGTCATGTGGTGATGACGTCATTAGATCCCGTTTGGACTTTCTTCTTCTTCCCTATAATTTTTCAGAGAAGTTCCGCTTTATAATACGCTATCTATTTTCCATCTTTGTTATGCAAAAATTAGAATTTGCTTTTAGATTTCTTCTATGGTTTCATGTCATGTATTGAGTATAGTTAACTTAATGGTTTATCTAGTTCTTTTACGAAAAAATATAGCGGAGAAAAGAAGCACGCCACCATCTGGACGTTACGTACCATGTTGACTTCAGCAGCCGGCCCCGTTACGTCAGCCCTGCCCACACCTACAAGGTAGTTCGGTCCATCTTCTTGGTTCTTCTGAAAGTCCAAGCTCGGGCGGTGCCTGTTGCGAGCTTGGGCGACCAGACACAGCGAAAAAGTAAGGAAGAAGACGACGGACAGCGCAACAAAGTTTGTATGTGCCGCCATCTTGGATTGAACTTTGCTTTTCTTGGCGACGCCTCTGGGGCGAAGCCTTTTGTCACATCCGCCTTGAAGGGGACTTTGCCCCCAGCGGCCCCGCTAGTTGTATATTCAGCGTTCTTTCTCGATGGCACTGATAATACTACATCAGTGCAAGCTGATCAGCTGTGTGTAAAGCAGGAACTGACAATTTACTGCACGAGTTTAGTGTAAGAGAATAAAATTTAAGACCTCAGCCATTAAATTGTATTACATAAATGAAGGAAAACATTTTTATGTGGAAGTCAAGAAAAAAGCAACAATTGCACAAATAAGCAAGAAAAACACACAGGCAGCATGCAAATCATCATCACTAACCATAACCATAAAATGATAAGGGTTGGCTCATACATGTAACGTTAGCTCTCACTACACCAAAAAAAAAGGAAAACTTAAATCTTTACAAAGTGACCACCAATGACTTGGAGTTTGCCAAAAGCCTCTCCACTCTCCCTCTTCCATAGAATTGGTGTCATACCTTTTTACAGAGAAACTAAGTAAAATGGGAAATATGATTCATGAAAGTTTCAGATTTTATTAATAGTTAGTGTTAATGAAGTAACCTTCCTCACCCTGTTAAATAAAATGAGAAGTAGCTATATATAGCCTATCTGGTTGTGTTTTTTGCATTGATAAATGAAAAAAAAAACCACAATACCTAAAAAATTTGGCATGGCTGTTAGTAATGTTATAGCTTAATAATACAGAAAGCAATGTTTACAAAAACATTTTTAAAAAGTAATGGTACATACACATGCCAAGATTCCAGATTACAATATGTCTTAATCTAGTGATCTCTGTACTGCTTTTATCAATAAATGTCTTTGTAAAATGTGTATTCAATGTCATACTAGGAAACACAATGATATGGCACTGTTAAACATGGCACTGTAAGAGAAAATGTGACAATGAGCAAAAGCTTGTTCCCTTCATTTTTACACACATTGCACAACTCATAACATGGGCAAGAGAATCTAAGATTGACATGGAATTTTTTTGAAATGCTTTTCAGTGTCTATGTGTTCGCAATGGCTTTTCAATGTCTACTGTGTTCGCAATGGCATTTCAATGTCTACTGTGTTCGCAATGGCATTTCAATGTCTACTATATTTCTTCAAGGCACTTTAGTAAAAAACAAATGGTCTCCTCTGTCATCATCAGTTGTACTTGGACTTGAGCTTGCTAGTGGTTTTTCCGAGGTTCTTGGACTCTGCTCCCATCCTGATGGTAACATCCTCAACTTGCCTCAGCCTCTGCCCTCTCTCATCAAGACCCTGTAAAAAACACAGATATGCAAAACATTATGGTTACTAGTAATATGCATAGATTCTCTGCCCCTGAGGCATAGCCAAAAATAGCATTTTGTACAAGTTGTGTGTGAGCATAATAAATGATAATAAGTTTATGGAAAATTATTACCCAAAGAATAATTGTAAATAACAGGAAAACGATGAACAAGCAATCAGGAATCATGGAATTTGATGGCTTCTTTTGTGGTCGTAGAAGGGACAGTTTGAAATAAATGTATTTCCTTGTCAACTTGTGACATACAGTACTTACAAGCTCTTTCACACACAGCTAACTTGGAAAAGTGAACAGTCTAAATAAATTCTTCTCCCACTGCATGTTTACCTCCCGAGCTCGTGCCATATCACTAGCCAGTCCACTTGTCTGTGCCTGTAGCCTGGTGATGCTGCCACCTGCTTGGTAACTCCCCTGACTACTGGACGTGGTCTGACCCTGCATTTGCTGTTGTTGTTGTCGAAGTAACGCCTCCCTTTCCCTGGCCTCTGATCGCTCTTTCACCCGTGCTGCAAACAGATAATAAAAGAACACTGAGCTTGGGTCTTCGATCTATAGACTCTGACACTCATGTACAATAATGTTGTGGAATAAATATTCAACTCATATGCTCTGCCTTTCAGTCAAAGTACATACTTAATTGTCTTGTTATGAACTAATAAACTTGTAAGTTGTATATTATTGACATATGCATTGAAAATGATCTGAGATGGATTTCTAACCCAAGTCTTTCAATCATGTCTTTGGTAACTGGTTTGAATAAGTCATACTGTAACTGTGTAAGAATGATGCACAGTTATTGATCACAATTGCTAATACATGTATTTCATAATGATTATTTAACATTAGATATAGCAATCACTGACTGTGCATCAGCAAATATTATATATAATGATTATGTAATATTAGCTATTGTGATCACTGACATCAGTCTTGCAGTATGGCTCCTTCAAACACCACCGTTGTGTTGACTTGGTGATAATGAAATATTGTCACCGACCTTTTACATAGCTACTTTTGAATCCTGTTTCTTCCTCTGGGGGTGGAGGTTCCGAACTCTTGTCACCACTCAAACACATTCCCATGGTTCCACAGCTTATGGCAGTCAAGCATGTAGCTTAGAGAAAACATACAGAGAAGGATATTAACAATATCAACACTATTTTGTCAATTATGAATGTATGCAATGGACCACTATAATTGTCTTCAAATCATCAGCTCCCTTAAAAGACTGTTTCCACTCACTGAATTACCAATTCCTATTAGCCAGCAGTGATGTTGACTGCCAATATACATGTTGGTATCTTAGATTTGCATTCCAATTAAGGCCAATTGCCCAAGCATACTGTTTATTAGTTTCACTGCGTGTTTTCATGTCTTTTTCCAGCATCCATATCCGTGACACTAGTATACAGGGTTTATTTGGGAGGGTCAAAAGATACTTAAATATAACGTTATATATTTCTACTAGTACTTATCATAGCTAGGATTCACTGTAACGTTAAGTTATAGTAAAATCATATGGCTGTTATTGTTGTGCCTGGTGATTGTCCCAGAAAAAATGTGCTCTTTTTTTATATATGTAGATTTTATGAAAGGTCCATCTTGCCACGTAGTAAACGATCACGTACAGGCGACGTTTCACTTTCAAGATCAAGAAACCGTTCGAACCCCGGGTCGTTGCCCCTCCCCCTACAAGATGAGGATGAACAATATTATATCGTTACCTCGATCGCTTCTCCACAATTCTGTGAGATCCTAGCCTAGGGGTACATGAAGAATCCTGGCACTGTAAAAATCAACACGTCAAATCCTGTTTGTCCCGCATTTCGTGGAAAAGTTTTCAACCCGGAAATGTCACCGCAGCTGACCTCTTCGGTGACCTGTTGATCTTGACGGCATGTAAACGCAAATAAATAACGATATAGCGCTTATGATATTTCAAAATATCACAATAATGTTTTGTTTAAACTGATTGATGGCTGTTACGTATGTAAATTTGTCTAGTTCATAAGTATTTAAGTCAGGTCATTAAAGCCGTTTTAATTAGTCCATAGCAGTGCGTGGTGATGCGGTTTTGCCGCCTGATGACCCACATAGCTGCGTTCTATATGCGTTATCACATTAACAATGCAGCATCGGGGGTTGCAGAAATATCATCATTTCTTTCTTATATATCACTCCATGCCACAGTTGGAGTGGGCATTTTAACTATTTCTTCTTGATTTTGAGGGAGGCGGGGGGCATTTTCCTGTATTAAAATTGCCCTACCATGATTCAATTTTATTCCTATTTTGAGGAATCTTGTGTCCAAGTTGCTTGATGACCCTCACGCGATTCTTATGGAATGAAACATTCAGGTTGCAGTGATTTATAATTTCTTATTTTACATTTGTTTTTCTTATCCAAAACATTTTGGGTGTCCATTGAGGGTGTATTTACCTGGAAAATATCTACAATACGCAAACAAATGTTAGGCGAGCAGGGCAATTTCGATAAATGGGCAGAAAAACTCTTTTTTTCTGAGAACCACTCAGAGTAATGAAAATGACGATCCAAACGTTAAATATTTCATGATGTTTTCTTTGTCTCTAGCAGGGCGTCGAACTTCAGTAGGACACGCCTGTAGACACACCCAATTCGTACATTTTCCAGTCTTGTAACTTTCTATGCTGTTTTCGACAGTTCTCATGTCAACCGTCACACGGCCGCTGTCTGAATGTTTTCTGCTCAATTGAAGTATAGAAAACGTATAGATGCGTGAATATAAGGGCCCCTGGAGACATAACGTACAGTAGGTCAGTTTTGTATCGTGTCTAGACAGCGTCTTGATCAGTACAACAAGACAGGGAACCGACTTGCCATCTTTGGGTCGTCTTGCCATCTCTGGGTACGAGAGAATATCGGTAGGGATTTTACCTTGTACTGTCTTTGACTGCCTTCGCAGATTGAAAGATGGGAGCACTTAAAACATGTAAGAGGAACTCTAATGTTTGCTAAGATCCCGATAGCCTGGTGACCAACTGACCTACATTTGTATTTAACTTTAAGCTCCCGAGTCTCTTTAGTTCTCGCGGAGAGACCGACTGCCAGCCCCTTTCTATTCATCATCCTTAGCAGACTCTATGGCTGGCCTTTTTGTGTGCCTTATGTGATTTTCGCTTTCTTTCTGGGTTATCTGACTACTCTTTTTACCTGGATTCTTTTTCGGCCCGTATTATGAAGTCCCCCTCTCCTCCCAAAAAAGCCCTGTCGTAGATTGTCAAGTGTACTAGAGGTGATCAAATATTTGATGCATGGTTCAACATCTTTGCAGCATTTCTGTACAGAGTTTAACGTGAACTCTCTGTCGCCTTGGTTTTAGATTGGGATAATATCTCGGTGATCGTTCGCCCGTCCCAGTGCTGATGTTCTGTATATGTAGGTAACGTTATCAGTGGTACTAGCTTTTTATATTCCCTAACCTATATCAGCTGCCTAGGACATCTACCAACATGTTGGTGATAGTCCTGGTAACGGTGACTGTCCTGGCCGGTCAGATACATCCCACTCAAGCTGGTGGTATGCATTTCGCCTTCAGTTTATATTTTTATGTGTTTTTAATAGTAGATAAGTGCTGAGAAATTTATGTTCGGTCGAATTTGATTATTATATTAGTTATAGATTGGATATAACAGTTATTGATATTTTTTTCAGAAATGTTGTTAAGCGTCACCAATCCGGTTAGTAGATGCATTTCGAAGTTATACACATTTTAAGGCGATTAAGCATTTAGTAAGATTTCTTAAGTATTCATTTTTATGTTACTTTTCTATTGTATAATCATCCAAAACACCGATATTCACTGAGTTTTGAAATATGTGAGGTGCAACTGTAAATTTTCTTGGTTTATCGTCGAAATTCACTGGCACGGCCCCATCACTCTGCATTTGTGACATCTTTCTTCTGGTATCAACATTTTTCGTTTGCAATTTTATGTACAAAATTCACAGCAACGTCGTTTTTCTACCTTGATATGGAAATAGTCACATTTTGTATAGATAACAGACTGTTCCATAAGAATGCAGGTGCAGCATGGCCATAGCCATTGGAAATTTAACTACTCACACATAATTAAGAGATACAGAATGGATGAATTTGTATTTACGTGTCTTGCGACTTTTGTCGTCCAGCCCATATGAGCTTATAAGGCACCAAGACATAAACATGAACATAAAGATAGGTACAGAAATCATATAAACATAAATCCAAGTCCGAATCAAAAGGTCAGACTGGAAACATCACATGAAGTTAAAGAGCTTAATACAAAGTTGTACATAACATAATCGGTACATAAGAGTCAAAATTAAAGTGCACAAAGTCAGCTCAAATTATGTTATATGTTTCAGTAATGCGAGTTGTGTTTGTTGTACATTCAGGTCATCAACTTCACGGCTACCAGCTACACGGCTACTCTCCCCAGGAGTCTTGAGGTTGGCGATGTGATTACAATCAAGGGCGTCTTTCCCCAAAATGTCACATGGTAAGTTATGTCTCAATAAATCCAACATATATCTGCATCGCCTGTTGGTAAAGGTCCGTGTAGACTTGGTTGTTAGAATCGGAAATAGCTGGTTTCTTTTCTTATGAAGATATGGAAATTTACACCTGTTAGTTATTGTATCAACCTTTGCTGAAGTTTATGTAGTAGATGTGACACTAGGAAAACCGTTCTTCCCCATTAAAAACGCCCCGGGTGTGCTTTTTCCTATACATGTAGTGAAATATCAAGTCATGTAAGAACATAAGATCATCAGACCCATATTCAAGGATAACTAGTCCAACACAACACAACGGGGGGTTAGGATAGGTAAGGGATCACTGAATAGCCTTGCCTCATACATTATTCATTATATACATGTAACTGTTACAGGCTAGGTCATATCACACATCGATCATTTCTACTGCAGTAATGGCCTGTCTTCTTTTCTCAGGGGCACAATAAACCTGAGAAGAAACAACCAAGTTCCATTCCATTTTAATGTGCGTTTCGACGACTACAACATCGTTGTTATGAATAGTGACTTATGGGGTTGGGGCTCTGAGATTCGGCGATACATCCCATTCACCCGGGAAACCGACTTTACCATGACCATCAGGGTGACTTCGGAGATTTTCACGGTACGGGGCGCTGCTCTATTTCGCTTGTATAGGCTCAGGTTAGTCACTTAGTCGGCGGGTGATTTTCTTTCCTTTCTTTCCTGATTACATGTATATACTTTTTAACTCCATTTTCATAACAGAAACGCGGTGATCTTTACCTGCATGATGTTTTGGTTTCTATTAGGCCACACCAAGTAAATTTTATGGATGACGTCCTTTGGAGACCCTAAATCTAATGCGAGAGGACGAAAAAAAACAAGAAGGGCCCTAAAAAACAAGATGCCTAGATTAGAAATATTGCACTGCTGACAGGACCGTCCTGTCTGTTAATAGTTCCAAAAACGGCACTGTTTTGGAGCTATTGACAGGATTTTTTTCAGTGCCATTTTTTTTTCATTTTTCATTTTTTTTTCCATTTTTTAACCAGGCACAGGCTTTTGGCGTTACGGGTTTTACATCAATCTGACGATTTGCGGCACTGTCGTGACTCTTTGATCATAGTTACAGGACGCGGAATTTCTTGTTGTCTTTTTTCTAGGAACAGGCCAAAATCAATGCGCGCGCGGACGTCATCCGTAAAATTTACTTGGTGTGGCCTTACCGTCCAAGGCTTAGAGACACACCTAATTTTGCAAATTTTCCAGTCTTGTAACTTTCTATGCTGTTTTCGATAGTTTTCACTTCAACAGTCACATGGCCAATTTCTATAAAACCTCTCGTGTTGTCACGCACATATACCTTTTCTACATTTCAATTGAGCAGAAAACATTTAATGTTTTCTGCTCAATTGAAATATAGAAAGTGTATAACGTTATGTGCGTGACAACACGAGTGGCATAACAGTTACTGAAGCTCAGTTTTGTATCGCCTCCAGTTCATCATTCTTAAAAGCGTAATTGCTCTGTGACAGGTACACATGACGTGACTTTAGGTCCGCCATCACGGTATCATTTCTTTAAAAACATCATTTTATGTTGTACCTTTTGTTCTTGTTCGTCCATCATCGTTCTTGACGATGACCAATGACATCACATCAGTTTGTGTGTGTCCGGCAGAACGATGGATGGCGATGCAATAATATAAAATGATTGATTATTTGAGTGATACAGCCTTTATAAGACTTGTATGTTACAAGACGAGCAGTAGGTAACACATGACACACGTGCTCTTTTGTTTTTACCATTCTACCGGCTGCAGATCGAGGTTGACGGCCAGTACTACACAGAGTACGCACATCGCACTACCATTGATGGAGTGAATGAGGTTGATATCACGGGCATACTGATCTCCCACCTTTACATCATGAGTATGTATACCTCACCATCGTTCTAGGTCTTCTCATTAAACGATTAATATTACAATTGTTATAGTACACTTACCTCTATTGCAGAATATTTTGCCTTGCTGTTTATTGTCGATGCCTCAGGGGTGGAAATATATGCATCGTATTACGATGGCTTGGCGAACTTTTGAACATTGCAATTTTTTTGATAATGTAGTAATTTACGTATTTACAGGCACTGTGGAATCCATACATGTCTACAAAATTCCATGGATTATATTTTTGAAATGGTTACATTGCATGAAGAGTAATTCAAGAAAAATGAGTTTGGTGTGAAAATACAGATTAAAATACATGGACTAGAACTTAGATATATTTCTTTGTTTTATGAACTAACAACAGGTTCATCAGTGGGGCCTGTGGGTTGGTGGCCTCTGAACGAAGCATTCGGCGCGACAGATGTCACCGGAAACGGAAATGACGGCTACGCAAGTGCAACTCAGTTGGTTGGAGGCCCGGCTGGGCCAACATCCCAAGCGTTCTTGTTCGGCGGCAACACGACGTCCTACGTCGAGATTCCCAACAACGGCGTTCTGCACGTCCGTTATTCCTACACCATACTGGCTCACATCTATCCTACAGGGGACGGGGGACCGCTGTTTCATTACGGTCGAACCCACTGGGATGTTATGTTCTGGCAACAAGCATACGCGCCACCGAAGCTATTAAATCGGTTAGTAAGGCAATGCTGATTTGATTATATGGATGACGTCTTCTGGGAACCCAACAACTGATGCGAGCGTGCGGATTTTTTTTTAAAGTTTGGAAAAAAACAGGCCCGAAAAATGGTAGATTTTGGACTTACCGAAACGTCAGCCAGCTTACTGTTTTCTATGTGGTGATAAAGGAACCTATATTCCTATGAGCCACCACCCTGATGTAGCTATTTTCGGCATTGTCTCTATTTCAGGCCTACGAACAGGAATGCTTGCTGGCAATGTCCCACCGCTGTAGCGGCCGTCCTCACAAAGAATAGCTGGAACTACGTCGGTGCAACTTACGACCACGTTACAGGAAAGGCAGCAGTTTGGCATGACGGCGCCGAAGTTGGAAGCGTCAATGCCGGCTCTATAGAGTTATTAACCCAGCGCGAGATCAGGGTGGGATCCCGGATGTGGACTACCTATGGTTGCTACTCCGGACGGATGTCTTGCCTGCAGCTTTACGACTACGTCTTGGATGAAAACGAAATTGCTGTAGCAAGGAGGAAATGTGAAGGTGAAATAGTCAGCAAACTTGTACGTCCTACTGATTTGTGGCTAACGTTTGATAGAGATCAACCCAAGATGACCAATGATATTTAGACAAAACGCATTAATATTTTACGATCAACACACTTGTGCAACTCCGTATTTTGACATTGTATAATCGTTTTGTTATTGTTGAAGTTGGTCGTCATAATTCTTACAGAAATCTGGTGATAATACTGACAATGATAAACTTTCAAGAATGTGGTAGGGTTGCTAAGGAGAACGAAAATAACGATATCAACACAATGATGATACCTATAACGATAATGGTATAATAACATTAATAATAATATATATTGTCTTATTTGTTCCTAGGAACGTGCCCGTATGGTTGGCATCCGGCCGGATATGTCTGTTACAGACTTTTCCATGAGACAGTCACTTGGGAGACCGCTGATGCCAGGTGCAGGCAAGAAGGAGGCCGGCTAGCCAGCGTCAAGAACGAAGACACACACAAGTTTCTTGTTGCGCTGAAGAGCATAGAAGACCGAGAGATCCACGTCTGGATCGGTCTACACGACTGCCTTAGCTGTGAGTAGCTCTTTAAGTCCTTTCATCTATAATTAAGGGTTAATGACCCACGAATAGCAAAGTTCTTTGGTCACAACCATTTATTTTTCACGAGCCGACGTTTCGATGATTATCTGTCATCTTCATCTGGGCAGTTCTGACTGGTTTACTGTGCACTGACCCTAGATATTACTTGGTGCATAGCACACTAAAGGTGTTACATAGTTCACAATGCACTTAAGCTATGTAACACCTTTAGTGCGCTATGCACCAAGTAATATCTAGGGTCAGTGTACAGTAAACCAGTCAGAATTGCCCTGATGAAGATGACAGACGGTCATCGAAACGTCGGCTCGTGAAAAATAAATGGTTGTGACCAAAGAACTTTGCTATTCATTCGTTTACCAACATGATGAAATTATTTACGGGGTTAATGACTCATCCCGAGGTGACTATGGTGTGATAAAGCCTTGTCAGTTACTATAACCACGTGCACCGAATAAAGCCACCTTATTCACCAAGGGCGGGCCATTAACGCTATTATCATATAGCCTCTCAAAACTTACACAGTAAAGAGTGACACATTCCTGTATAAAACATACAAACTTGAATAGAACATGTATATTACTTGTTTCATCAATCGTGTTAAGAAGTTTTTTTTAATAGTAAAACGTTGAACTTTATTCCAACACACAACTATACAGACTTTTCAGCGATCACTGTATAGTTGTGTGTTGGAATAAAGTTCAACATTTTACTATGATTACTACCAACACAGATGAACTTTTATGATAAGTTTTTTTAGTGTTTGATGTCGTCTCAAAAACGCAATTCCATTTGACGGACTGAAGTAGCAGAAGTATTATATGTTTCCAAATGTTTCAAAAAGAGAGAAGAAAGGGCAACTAACAGTAGATGATTGGTGGTTTATAGTATTATTGTAATGTATAGATACCTAGCACTTTTGCATTAGAATATAACGTACCAGTATGAAATACTCATGTTTTACATACTGGACATCCTCTTGTGCATTTAGCCCATCTGGGCAAAAACATGCAATAAAGATTCATCATATAAAGTGTACGAAAGTGTAATGAGAGGCTTTTTTGGGGCTGTACTAAAACCAGGTAAACTAGCTGAATTGAGAATAAATATTTCTGTAGAGAATCAGCACACAAACCGATGACACTGGTCTGCCTTGTTGTGCAGGTTTCAATCTCGCTCTGCAGAAGACTGCAACCAGCACCGATTCGGCCCATAGGAGTCCCGGCAATGCAGTAGACGGAAACACCGATGGAAACCATCATGGTTCTACCCCGTGTTTCCACTCCTTGCCGGACATTTCCAACCCTAGCTGGTGGGTGGATCTTGGTCAATGGTACAGGATTGACAGGTAAATTACTATCTCTTGGTTACTCTGTAGAGAAGCCTTTTGGCTTAGTAAATGTTTGTGTATGTGATAGCTGAACTTGATTTGCACAGTTAATATACATTGTATAGGGCTAAATCATGATTGCTGTTGTTTGTTTTGTTGTTTTTTTGCTCTACAGAGTAGTCATCTTCAACCGTCTGGACTGTTGCTCGGAGAGAATCAACCCCTTTAACATCCACATCGGGGATTCTGACCAGGTTGCCGCGAACCTCAAGTGTGGCGGTGATCATCAAATGGCCGTGAACCAGCCGTCCATTTCCGTCCCGTGCCAGGGGATGTGGGGACGGTACGTGGGCGTTCGCCTTCCCGGCTCCTCCCGAACCCTGCAACTGTGCGAGGTCCAAGTCTTTTCAGTTCCAGGTTGGTATTTGCTGTTTGATATGGCATTGTTACCTCCACCCGAAGGTCAAGCGATCGTTTTAGGTATGGTGATTACTGACGTGGATGATCTTTCAGATGATATTCTGTTACATCTACTTTTAAGAGGTTCTTCTCGTCTTCTGTCAACAATGTACAATACTCAAATACTGCTGCATGTGCAGACTTTTTTGTTGGAATCAAATCGTTTTTTGTAGTGTTTTGATCGATCCTGTTGGTGTTTATGTATTTGTTTCACTTGCTCATTGATTGATTGTTGTATTCAACTTCTGTATGAGAAACTTCGTGCTTTGCTTGTTTGTATTACGTATTGTCTCGTGGCGACATGAATACAAGACTAGTGTAACTTGAGTGTGTCGCCACCACGTCTTGTCACTGTATGTTTCAATTTAAAAAAAAAAAATATTTGTTTCAGACGATCCTCTGGCAGAGTGGACGTGGGCAGACGGGACGCCTCTCAGTCAGCAGGACTTCAGGGGATGGACTCCGTCCGCTCCTGACGAAAGCTACGAAAACTGCGTTCTGTACTATTCATGGAGGACTCAATCACGGCGAGATCTTTGGGAAGATGTTGAATGTTCGCGTACCCATGAGTTCTTCTGCGAGCGAGGTTAGTTCTTGAATCGTCAGTCAGCATTAATCGTGACTAATAAATTGGTGTATGTACTAATGTATTATGTACTGACGTATTATGTACTAAGTACCTAATAAAGAGCAATAAATGTACATGCATTCAAGTAGCAGACTTATCAAGGATAGAGGTGTTCAAAAACTCATTTTTCCTAAAACTGTGATAGAGTGGAGCTCACTTCCATCAAGTACAGTAGGGGTTTTCTCACTACGTAGCTTTAAACAATGTTTATAGACTGAGTTAGATGTTCAAAGGTTAGGTGCAACAAGTCGGTGTGTTACGTGGAGGGAAGGTTATACTGGCTATACAGAAACAGCAGATACTGCTACAGAGTGCACATGTACCCTTCAAAACTGGTAAAGTGGCTAGACATAACATTTCATCATTCACTATTTTCCTTTCAGTAAACCCACCAGAAAACCTGACTTGCAGTTCAACAACTACGAACTCCATTGAAGTGGATTGGCTGTACACAGAGCTGTATCCTTACACCCCACTATCGGGATATCGTGTTTGGTATCGACACGTGCTAGACGACATATATAGAGAGCCGACCGAGGTGACAAATCCACCTCCAGAAGCTACAAGCGTCGTCATTTCCGGTTTAAAGAGCGGCTCTATGTACAGCGTCTCAATTCGTGCACTGGTGGGAACAACTCAGAGTCTTGATGTCATGGTGCAGTGTATAACTGGTATGAGATCTCACTTCTATGTTTTCTTGTCAACTTTCTTTTCTTGATGCTTCCTTTTCAACCAAACTGCTTTTTCTTGTGTTTTTGCACAGATCATGAATGTTTACAAACAATAGATTTCTTAGCAAAGGATATGTTGACATGTTGACATAGGTTGACATGCATTACAAGTAACCACAGACACTCATTATAAAGTTGTGATTCAAACTTTTCCACTTAATAAAATTGAAACAATTTATCAATATATATCATATTATACTATCAATAAATTGTCTCAATTTTAACCAGTTGTAAAGTTTGAATCACAACTTTTTTTATATATCCCTGGATGACTAGTCTTCACAAACCCACTGATTCTCATGTCTCATATTCCAGAGACAGACGTTCCTGTGTTTCTGGCTTGTGCGGATGCAACTTTGTCTTCAGTTGAAATCAGCTGGATCAGCCCACAAGCGCTACTTGTCGGATACAGAGCAACCTACACCCTCATTGACCAGGATAACCCTACAACGATCACCACAGAGTTAGGATCTGGAAACCAGTCCCATGTACACCAAGGTGCCCTGACTGACCGGGAGTATCGTGCCACGCTGGTGGCAGTTGGGTTGTACAAGGATAGCTTGCCAGTTGACATCACCTGTGCAACAAGTGAGTTACACAGAAGCTGCATTTTGAACAATAAATACTGTTTTACAAGATGGTTCTGCTCCTGGAATATTTACATTGCAGAACACCCTGTACAGAATATTCTAGCCCAGAACAGCCTTCCACCTCTATGTACTATCCTGAACCCTTACCACATTGGTACTGAACAGCCTTCCACCCCTATGTAGTATACTGTACCCTCCCCACCTTGGTACTGAACAGCCTTCCTTACACCCTATGTCCTATACTGTACCATCCACACATTGATACTGAAAAGCCTTCCACCCCTACATACTGTACCCTCCCCATATTGGTAGTGAACAGCCTTCCACCCCTATGTAGTATACTGTACCCTCCCCACCTTGGTACTGAACAGCCTTCCTTACACCCTATGTCCTATACTGTACCATCCACACATTGATACTGAAAAGCCTTCCACCCCTACATACTGTACCCTCCCCATATTGGTAGTGAACAGCCTTCCACCCCTATGTAGTATACTGTACCCTCCCCACATTGGTACTGAAGTGCCTTCCACCCCTATGTAGTATACTGTACCCTCTCCACATTGGTACTGAACAGTCTTCCACCCTTATGTAGTATACTGTACCATCCCCACATTGGTACTGAACAGCCCTCCACCCCTATGTACTATCCTGTACCCTCCCCATATTGGTACTGAAGTGCCTTCCACCCCTATGCAGTATACTGTACCCTCCCCACCTTGGTACTGAAGTGCCTTCCACCCCTATGTAGTATACTGTACCATCCCCACATTGGTACTGAACAGCCCTCCACCCCTATGTACTATACTGTACCATCCCCACATTGGTACTGAACAGCCCTCCACCCCTATGTACTATACTGTACCCTCCCCACATTGGTACTGAAGTGCATCCACCCCTATGTAGTATACTGTACCCTCCCCACCTTGGTACTGAAGTGCCTTCCACCCATATGTCACATACTGTACCCTCCCCATATTGGTACTGAACAGCCTTTCACCCCTATGTACTATAATTGTACCCTCCCAATCTTGGCACTGAATAGCCTTCCGCTCTGTAGTACTTTGTAGTACTCTGTAGTGCTTTCTTGCTTTTAGCACTGTTGTCTGCCTACCAGCCAACATCTTTTCATCTTCAATGACACCTTTTTCTTTTATGTTTGAACAGTGACACCAGCTCCGGAGGATTTTGCAGTGACAAGCATCACTGGTACCTCTGCCAAAGTGTCATGGGTCCCCAGCACTAGTTCCATCGCTACTGGGTACAAAGTGTGGATAAGGCAGTCGGGGTCTGCTGATATAATTCACATCTACATTCCCCAGTTAAGCCAGAATGAGGTGACCTTTGAAAACCTCATACCAGCCACAGAGTACACAATATCAGCAGCAACTATCAACATGTACGTCGAAGGACCGGAGGTAAACCTGACCGTGGCAACAGGTATTGCAACTTTTTATAACATTCTACTTAATAGTGGGGTCGTATGGTGTAACAGCAGGGTGCTCGACTCGGAACCAAGAGGTCCCGGGTTTGAGTCCTGATATGCCACCGATCTTGTGCCCTTTATGCCACTTAACTCAAGGGAAAAATAGTATTGTCTGTCCTGTATTTGTTTCTATGTGTGGGACACAACACCAGCAATAGCTGCCTTTGTCCCATGTGTATTATTAATATTGTAGTGTTACAATTTCAATACACCAAATCAAATTAATAGTCAACCTGTATGGGCCTATATTGTGCTTTGAATTAGTTTGATAAAATATGTACTAGTCAAATAAGACTATAGTAAGTATTACACAAAGAAAGCAATTCTATCCCAATAGTTAAGGCTGATATTTCACCATTTTGTGTACAATATTTAGGTGGAAACACATATTTGCTACAATCTGCATGTGTAAGCATCAATAACAGCCCTCCACCCCTACCAACTAGCCTGTACCCTCCCCACACTAGTACTGAACTGCCTTCCACCCCTACAAACTATCCTACCCCTACAAACATGTTTTCATGTTATTCATGTTCTGTCTAAACTAAAACGCGCGCTTGGAATAATGCGTCAGGTCCAACCTTTTGTCACACAATCTGCACTTGTCACCTTGTATAACACCATATTTTTACCACACTTAAGGCCACACCAATTTAATTTGTTGGTTCTCGGATTTTTTCAGAAAAAATATGAAGCGACAGGGCGAAAAAATAAAAATAAAAACAGGCCTAGGCATCCTATTATGGCCCCAAATGCTTTGATTGGAGCCATGAAGTCAACACAAAAGGCTGGGATAAAATTTAAACAATGAATTTTGAACTTTTAACCAAACCACTGCATTAAACGATTGAAAAACTGTAACAACTAGGAAGAAAAGGACTTTCCTCAACTGTTGGGAGCAAAATATGAGCATTTTTTAGATGATTCAGAACCAGTAATTTTTTTTTTTTTTTTTGCAAATCAGAAAAAAATGAAGAGGCGAATCCGAGAACCAACAAATTAAATTGGTGTGGCCTAACTTATGCCTGTACTGTCTGGGATGGTGCCATTTCGGTACAATATGATAAGATGCAAAGAATGCAGAACCGAGTAGGAAAATTGATCTTGAAAGCCCCGTACAGAACACCATCACGGGAAGTCCTCTCTCGTCTGGGATGGATGTCCGTGAGAACTCTACACCGTCAACATAAAGCCATGCTAGTGTATAGGGCCTTGGACAATTCTTTACCACCACATAT